TCTCCCAGGGACCACTCATGCACAGGGCTTTCCCCATACTGCACCAGTCCCACCTGAAATTGAAGTGTGTACTCACCTGGCATGTGTGTACTGAGGGTGAGGAGATGGGTGCTTGGATACTACTGAAGACACTACCTATATTCACCTCCTCTCTCCCCGTGTCTCCCTCTCCAAGCCCATCCAAATGGCCATCTCTTACCTGTACTTGCTCTGGGTCAATGAACAGTCTCCCTACCAGTCTTCGTAGGAAAGTCTGAACTTCAGACCAGGGATAGATGCTATTGGAGCCATCCAAGACGATGACAACATCCATGTAGGTGGGACAGCCTAGGAGGAGGGGTGTTCTGATGAGGAACAGAGGTGTAGAAGGATACTGGGCATGAAGACAGCAAGGGAAAAGGTCACAGGAGGGCACATTCCATTCAAACACTTTTTAGGCACTTCCGAACATGCAAGGAAGGTAGTATGCCAGGCCCTGGGTAAATGAAGAAATGAATAAAAGAGGAGTTGAGCATGCATACAACTTACAAGAGGAAGGAGGAAGAGGAGGAGGAGGAGAAGAAGAAGGGAGGAAGAGGAGAAAGAGGAAGAATTTAAGTGTTAGGTAAAACAGAGCACCGCGGTGTAGGAGAACAGGAGGGGCAGCCTGATGGTGGGGAATTGAAGGAGGCAGCCCTGAAGATGTTTGAGGAGAGGAGACTATAAGAAGATGCATTTACATGGAGAACACTTTAAATAAAAGGACACAGAGGTATAAAAATAGATGACAAAGAGGAGAATGCGGAGGGAACTGCTATGGCCAAGGTACAGTGCGTGGAGGGACAGAGTGAGTTCACTTCTATGGAGTCTTGATGCCCTGGCAAATAGTCTGAATTCAAATCTGTTAGGAGACATGGAACCTATGCAGCACATCAAGTAACAAGGAGGAAAGGTGTGCGGGGCACCTGCCCAGCATCTACCCTATTGCCCCATCTTTTCCCCCCCCTGCACTGGGTGCTGGCTTACGTTGTGCGGTGGGTGCCAGGCTGCCCCGGGGCCGGAATGAAGCATCTACGCGGGCACATATCCCAGAACTGAAGACAGAGGAGCCGCAAGCACGAGACCAGAGAGGGGCACAAGCCTGGGGATAGGTAGAGGAAATATTGCCCCCAGGCGTGGGAGGGGGGCATAGAAACCCCTCCCCAAGATTCCCCTCCTTTCTCTCTAGGGTTTCAAACTTCTTTTTTTTTTTTTTTGGGTTTCAAACTTCTTGACCACTCCACATAGACCCGTCTCCCTCACCATACCGCCCTTTTCTCTGCCAGAATCCTTCAGAGACCCCTTTCCTTAGTCACCATGAATCCCCCATCGTTGTCTGTCTCTAGCAGAGACATTCCCAGGTGCATATTCACAGCAGGATGAGATGAATTTCCCAGTGGATAGTCACCTGGTTGGAAGGGGGGTGGAAGAGAATGAGATCATAGGGTCACACGTGGAGTTCTTGAATTTAGGGTGATTTGGAAAGAGGATGAGGTCAGGATCAAGTCAAAGATGGAGTATGTGGGACATGGGGTTGAAGGTGAGGTGTGAGGAGCCAAAGGTCCTAGCATATCAGGTTAGGGGCTAGGAGTGGAAGAGTGAGGCACCCTCTTACCCAAATGGCCTTTGGCACATGGAGCACTGTGGGAGCCCCCAACAGGGCAGCGATAAACATCCCCCCTTCTGTCTCCTGAAGGCCCATCCCAGGGGGCGCCCACCAGCATCCTGGGAGGAAAACATGAGTATGAACTTTGTGTGAACATGACCTTTGAGATAGGACAGAGGGAAAATGCATGGAATAGCAAGTCCCGAACCCCAGCCACTTCCAAAAGACCAGATTTCTTTAGATTCCCATCTGTCTCGCCACCCCCTTTAAGAGCTCTACCACAGTCCCAACCCCATGGCCCTCTGGTGTCTTTCCTCACCATCGACGGCCACCCCCGACATGTTGTAAGACACTATATCCAAATTCTGCCTCAGGTGGCCCTGGGAAGAGGCGCGGGTGATGCACATCCAGGTTAAAGGGGGAGCACAGACCTGGGAGGCAGGATCAGAAGAGTAGCAGGCAGCAGTCAGAGAGGCTAGTGAATGACTGGAGAGGCACAACCAGAGAGAAGCACGAAGGGAACGTCTTGATCTCAGTCTATCTCCCTGTTTCTTATTCACAAGTTGTCTTGGCCTCTGTCAATACCTTGTACTCAGAGCCTACAAGCAAGGATGATCTGCTTCCTGTGTTTGGGTCCAGATATCTAACCTGTGGCTCTCTGCCATGCTGGTCACAGCTGTGTTTCCATTCCCACCCCTGAAATCTCATTCACAAATATGTCTGGAAGGGTCAGGTTCCTCTTTTGCACATCATTCCTCCTACACATCCTCCTCCTGAAGCTGCAAGAGTCATAGAGGGAGAGGGGCCTTTCTGCAGCCCAGAACAATTGTTCCTTCCAGATTCTCCCCAAACACAGGACCCCAGAGAGGACTAGAGGAGGCTAGTGGGGACTGCATGGCAAGGTCTCCCGTGTGTCTCTTCATGACTCCAGAGTCACTGTCACACTCTCAATCTGTTTCTCCACTGTCTAGGTCTGTGCATGATTCCAGCCCTGAAAACCTCAGTGGTAATTAACTGGGTGGGGCCACTCGCCTGCCCACACACATGGTTTGCCAACCATCCTTACCAAGGGTCCCATCACCCCAGTTCCCCACAGCCTGCTCCTTACCTAACTCATCCACTCTCCCAACTGCTCCCGGCTTACTTGCACTTCTTCCATAACTTTCAGCCCACTCTAAAGACACCCCCTACTCTTGTCCTGGCTGATTCTCACCCCCCACCCGACCCCAATCCCTTTAAAATCAGATCTGGTATGGGGTGCCTGGCTGACTCAGCCAGTTACCACAGTATTCTCGACCTCAGAGTCGTGAGTTCAAGCCCCATGCTGGGCATAGAATTTACTTAAAAATAAAATTTAAAGAATTTAAAGAAATCAGAGCTGGTATTTTAGGAAACAAAGATTACAGGGCACTAGTGAGGAAATCGTCCAGGCCTCTGGTCCCTCCCATGGTTCTTCCTTGTCTGGCTCTCTCCTTTCAAGCAACCTCCCCTCAGGCCACACCCACCCCTCCCCCCACATCCCACCACCAATAGCTATAAGCTGTCTCAAACCATGTTCCTTTTCAGAAAGGTGTTTTCTGTGTGAGCCTTTTTGCATCCGGGAAATTGGCAGGGCTCTATGACCAGCAACTGTAGCTCATTGGTTAGATAAACTGTTCTCACCACAGAGTTAGTTATGCCTCAGGCTCCAGAGACCACCATGGGTAGAAGGAAGTTGGATGGAGGATAATAAGAATCAGACTAGCCACGTGGAAGGTCACATTCTTCTTTTTGGTCCACTCACTCCTCTGGGGCTTAGGATAAAGATTTTAGATAACTGGACACCACTGAGACACAAGGCCCTGCCTATCTCAATACTCAAGCGCTCATGTGTGGGCATAAAAATGAAGACACACACACATACACACAAACACACACGTATACGCACAACACACAGACACACACCGTGCAGAATCAGTGTTAACTTTTCACTCTAACTCCCAAAGATTTTAACCCTAAAAGGTCCCAATGCCAAACAACCCATACACTTTTCTCCCCAGCAGGAATGGAGGTCAACCTCCCTCACCTGTCAGGAACACCACCGGCAAGAGCAGGTGAGGGATGAGGGGGAGTTCCATGCCTGGTTGTTCTCTGTCCGTATGAGAAGTCCTCTGTGCCTCTGTCCCTCTCCTTTTCTGTTTTCTTTACTTTCCCTCCCATCCTGCCCCCTCCCACTGGCAGCTAAAAATAAAATGGGAGGAGTAATGGTGGGAACACCGGGGAGCCCCAGACCAAGGAAAGGAGGACTGAGCCATCTTAGCCTCTTTCCCTGCCCCGGTACTGCCCCCTGGAGGCATCATCTCAATATCCAAAGAACACAATTCTTGATTTCTGCAGTTTCTCCTTTTTTCCCTATTCTTTGGTGTTGTCAGGCAGTAATGCTTTCCTCAGCTTTGGAATAGATGCTAGGCGTGGGAGACAGAGACTTTTTTACTTCTTCTTTTTTTTTTTTAATCTTTTTTTTCTTTAGTTTTTATTTGTTTATTCATGAGAGAGAGAAAGAGGCAGAGACACTGGCAGAGGGAGAAGCAGGCTCCATGCAGGGAACCCGACATGGGACTCAATCCTGGGACCCCAGGATCAGGCCCTGGGCTGAAGGCGGTGCTAAACCGCTGAGCCACCCAGGCTGCCCGACTTTTTTACTTCTTAATCTTATTTATCTCACCCTGGGATATGGAAAATGAAAGAGCTGGTGACAGTGATATCATTTCCCCTCCCACACAGGGGAGTCCCAACATGTGAACACAGCCAGCCCACAAACCAAACCTTGCCAGTCTCATTTCACTTAGTTCTGTCTGTGACTCAGCCTGTGCTGTCTTGCAGCATCATACCTTTTAGAAGGACTACAAACTATGAACTGGTGTGGGGTGTGTGTTATGGAATCCGTAGAATTACTTGAATTATTAGACCCCATCTTCTTTTTTTTAAAGATTTTATTTATTTATTCTTTTTAAAAAATATTTATTTATTCATGAGAGACACAGAAAGACAGAGGCAGAGACAAAGGCAGAGGGAGAAGCAGGCTCCATGCAGAGAGCCTAACATGGGACTCAATCCCAGGATCATGCCTTGAGCCAAAGGCAGACACTCAACCGCTGAGCCGCCCAGGCGTCCCTAGACCCCATCTTCTTAACTAGACTATAACTTCTAAAGTTGGGACCACGGAGCTTCTTAGCTTATTGTATCGCCACCTTAGTATTATGCCCTGCATAGTGTAAGTGCTCAATAAAAGCCTGTGGGTGATGATACTACTGGCTAATCCCATGGAGAACCCACACCCTGTAACAGGAATTAGAGACCTCCAATAACCAGAACACACAGGACCAAACCAAACATCGATGAGCAAACTGATCTTTAATGTGCTGACCTAGAAGGCTTGCTCTTCATCGTGGGCATGGCCACAGCTATTTACACAGAATCACTGTACAGTATTTACAGCAAGATGCTAGACACAGCATCCTTCTGGATAGGCAAGGAAAGGGTGAGAACAGGCTAGGGAATAAAGCCCTGAAATAAAAGTGTAAGCAGAAATCTGCAGATGTGAGTAGAGGGAAAAGGGCCAAGTCAGGAGGGAGGCTGGTGAGGTAGACATAAAGGAGGAAGTACCAAATCATCTCTGGTGCATGAGGAGAGAGTCCACTGGGATACAGAGTCTCTAAAATTGTGATTTGGTGGCATCGGAAGGGGTAAAATCTGCCACAAGTCACCTTTGTGAGGAGAAAGAAAACAGCAGTTAGAACCTTACAGACCACACCTTCTACCTTCCCTATCAAAAAAGTAATTCTGCTGATTAAATTCCTAGGACAGCAAATAGAGAAGATAAAAAAAAATGCAGATACAGAATCTTAGATAGACTTAAGAGACACAAAGTAAAAGGGGGTCAAGGGAGACAAAGACATCGCAATGAAGGAGGAAAAAACAAAAGCTCCAGAAGATCCAAATGTTAGAATCATCCCATTGATTTCACAAGTCCCTGTTCTTCACCTCACCTTCCCCAAAGCTCCTCCCTCTACCCCTAAATCTTGGGATTTTAACTTTAACCAATGAGTACAATTAGAATGAGGCTGGTGCACTTGGGATGATCTAAGATTCCATCTTACCAATTCAGATCCCCTCCTCATCTTGTACCAGAATATCAGGGCTTGAGTCGTAGCCAAGGGCAGATTAGGGTAAGAATAGACAGGATGGAGGACACGAGGCCACAAAGCCCCACAATCCCAGGGCCACAGCGCCAGAGGCCTAGTTTGTCCAGTGGAATGAAAAGATCACAGGCATTTCTGACCACATCCAGCAGAAGTGGGGGATGACCTCGAAGAACCCGAGCTAAGAGCAGGACTCGGAGCTGTAGCTTAAGAGCTAGTTGAGGCAAACCTCCTCCTGGAGTCCCTGGACCCCCAGGTCCTGCAGTTTCAGTTCCTCCCATGGCTCCTCCTCCAGAGCCCTTCAGCCGCCGGCTATAAGCTGAAGACTCTTGTTCCATCAGTAGGCGAATTTCATAAGCATCACGGCTCAAATTCATGATGAGGGAAAACAGATAGTACCTGAGACAAACAGGCCAGGAAAATCAGTAAAGGCACATATAGCCACTTAGCACATCAAACAGAACACTTAAACATTTTCCCCCCATGGTGCAAAGGAATTATACATTAAAACACCAGCAGTAAGTGCTATTACCCACAATTAGGAATGTCTTCCCAGCTTTCTATAACTAATCTGCATTTACATGTACCTTAAGATCCTGGCTTAAAATCATGAGCATCATCAAACCTTCCAAGAACAACCTCAAATTTCACTTGTCCACTTGGCAACCCATTAGCACACACACATTCAACCTGAACGATAATGTAATGATGCAAATGTTTTCGGAGAACAAGCTTCAGTCGTTTCAGAGACTGGAACACATTGTAGATCTTTTAAATCCCATCTTTTTGTTAAAACAAACATAAACAAAAAGTGAGGCCCAGAAGTGTTAAGCAACTTGTTAGATGTGTTAGACTTATTAATTCCTTAAGAACAGTCTATGTTTGGGGCACCTGGCTGGCTCAGTCAGTAAAGCAACTCTTCATCTTTGAGTAATGAGTTTAAGTCCCAAACTGTGTGTAAAGATTACTTAAGAACAAGCAAACAAGGCACCTGGGTGGCTCAGTCAGTTAAGAGTGCAACTCTTGGTCTCAGTTTAGGTCTTGATCTCAGGGTCCTGGGTTCAGGCCCCACACTGGGCATGGAGCCTACTTAAAAAACAAACCATTAAACAGTCTATGCTATTGTTGTTTTAAAGATTTTATTTATTTAAGAGAGAGTGAGAGAGAGAGAAAAAAAGAGAGAGAGAGAGAGGCAGAGACACAGGCAGAGGGAGAAGCAGGCTTCATGTAGGGATCCCGACGCGGGACTCAATCCTGGGTCTCCAGGATCATGCCCTGGGCTGAAGGCGGCACTAAACCGCTGAGCCATCCAGGCTGCCCAAGAAAGAATCTGAAGCAGACTTGCACTAAGTACGGAGTCTGAGGTAGAGGAGGAAGGGGCTCGATCCCACAACCAATTAACCAACCATGAGATCAAGACCTGAGCCGAAACCAAGAGTCGGATGCTAAACTGACTGAGCTATGCAGGCATGCCAACAACCTATGTTTTTTTAAATCCACTCTGACAATAGTGGTCTGAACTCAATATAATTGTCCTACCTCAAAAAACACCTCCTGAATCCAATCACATTTCTCTTATACCACACCAGCACAGTCTCAGCCACCAGCACCTCTTACTCGAACTACTGCTTTAGTTATTTGATTGGTCTTTCCATGGCCACTCTTGTCCCCTATCCCCCAACAATCTAATTTCACATAGTGAATCACACCATTACTCTCCTTCTAAACTCTCCACGGATTTCTTCCTATCCTATTTAAAATGAAATTTAGGGGTGTCTCGGTGGTGCCTTAGTCCAAGCCAACAACATCTCTTGCCATATTAGGGTATCTCCTTCTCTTTTGCCCTACTGCAATCCATTTTCCACTGCAGCAAGAGAGATGTTCTTTAAACACAATCTGAATCATGTCACATCCCTATTCAGAACCCATTGTACTTAGGATAAAATTTAAACAAAACTAACCCAAAAATCCTACATTGCCTAAGAGGCCTTGCATGAATGATCTGGTCCCGTCCATATCTCCAATTTAAACTTATGCCCTTCACTCAATACTCTCCAACATGCTGTCTTTCTTTCTCTTTCTCTAATTCCACAAAATCTTTTTTGGTTTAAAGCCTTAGAATGGGTTATCTTCTGTTTGAGAAGGTCTTCTCTGCTGCTGTTTGCTTTGACTAACTTCTTTTTTATATATATATATATATATATTTTTTTTTTTTAATTTTTATTTATTTATGATAGTCACACACACACACAGAGAGAGAGAGAGAGAGAGAGAGGCAGAGACACAGGCAGAGGGAGAAGCAGGCTCCATGCACCGGGAGCCCGACGTGGGATTCGATCCCGGGTCTCCAGGATCGCGCCCTGGGCCAAAGGCAGGTGCTAAACCGCTGCGCCACCCAGGGATCCCATGACTAACTTCTATTTAGACTTCAAGTCTGAATGAAAACGTTACTTCTCAGGGACGCCTGGGTGGTTCAGTGGTTGAGTGTCTGCCATTGGTTCATGGTGTGATCCTGAAGTGCCCAGACCGAGTCTCACATCAGGCTCCCTACAGGGAGTCTGCTTCTCCCTCTGCAAATGTTTCTGCCTCTTTCTCTGTCTCTCATGAATAAATAAAACCTTTTTTAAAAAATAAAATAATACATTACTTCTCAAAGAGTTTTCAGAAGTTTTGGCCTTTCAATCAAAATCAGCTCTCCTTGTTATATATCTTATAACACCCTGTACATTTCCACAAATACCTGGTTTGGTCGTGTCTTAATATGACTCCCCCAGTAGACCAGAAGCTTAGTGAGAGTGGGAAGCATATCTGGCTCTGTGCTTTATTCCCTGACACATAGTAAGCGCCTCCTAAATATTTTTAGAATGAATGAATGAGCAAGCAGTGAGAGGCATAACCTGTGGCATAGATAGCAGATTTAAAGCAATATAATGTCTTATCTTGCCCAATCTTAGTCATTCATCATGGAAGGGCATCTGTCTTCCATCTGCCTCCATTCACTATTCTCTGATAGTTTAAAATCTAAATGAAGACCGGAAGCCAAGTGATTAAGATGTGTATATTCTGGGAAGACCCTGAAAGATCGTTCTCTCATAAAAGGCAAGCCATACAGTATGAGAAATACAAAAGGTCTTGTAGGATAAAAGGATATCAAACCTGAATGAACGCTGGGCCCACTTCTCCTGATCCACGCGAGGGGCTAGTCCAGATTTTCCAGCCCACAGGACATTGTCACAGGCGAAGTACAAGGCTCGATTGAGGTGACTAACAGTGATGCAGAATCTCAGGACAACATCTGATAAGTGCACAGCTCGTTTGGCTGACTCAAGGGCATCTGCTGAGTTACCCAGGCGTAGAACTTGTGGAGATTACCAAGGAGAAGCAAAGATTTGGAAGTAGAGGCAAACAGAGTGAGACGCAGAGAAAGAGGAAACAAGTAGGTGAAAGTCGAGCAAGTGACAGAAATAATAATTACAATTTTTTTAAAAAAGAAAAAAAAGTTCAAAAATATTTTTTTTCTTCAAATTTTAGTTAATTTATATCCCAGTTTGGTTTTCTGAAACTTGCCCCATTCTCTCCAATCCTTCATTAGTCTCTTACCCCTGCTCTCTTCTCTCAATCAAGAGGCATGCAGAGGGTAAGTGCAGAGCTGAAAGAGGGGGAAGAACTGACAGAGAAGGTCAACAATGGGAAGAAAGGACTAGGAAGAATAGCTGGGGATGCAGTAATAAAAGCAAAAGCACGGTTACTTACGCTTTCTTCCTAGGCTCAGATGACCCTCCAATTGTCGAATTTGTTTCTGTAACTCAGGACTGGCCCCGTGTTTCTGCAGTGCATGGCCAAGAAGGGAGCAGGCATACTGGGCAGCCCTGGAGGAGAGGCCAGCAAGGTAAGGTGGAGACGTCCCTAACCTCCTCTCAAAATCGTCTTCCAAAAGGAAAGAACTGACTTCCCCTTTCCCCAGTTTGAGGCCATTCCCTTTTCTCCTCATTATGCCCATCTCTTACTGTTTCTCCCTCAGGCCAGGGGAAGGGAAGGCGTAAGGATAGAAAGGAGCCTAGAGAAGGGGTTGAAGGGCACTACTTGTAGTTGAGAAACTAAGAGATCTGGCGATGATGAAGTCTGAAGGGGACCGCGACGGCAGCAGAGGGTCCATCACAGGCACAGCAGGGTGAGCACGTACGGGATACTAAGGGAGTGGGGACAGGTGGAGAGCAGATTACTCTTCAGAACAGGTGAACCAGGGGCTTTCAAGGCCCTTTGGCAGAATCGAGACCGGAAAACAGGGCGGAGGCAGAGGAGTTCCCGGATGACAGCAGGATGAGGGGACCAGGGAACTTGGAGCCGGTCAGCTCTGGGGGTAGAGCCTGGCTACCCATCGCGGGGAGAATGCCCCTCACGCCACCACCGCCCAGTGAGTAAGGTGTTGGTCTCATATGGACATGGCAGCGCTGAGCGGCCTCCCCGCTGGCCCACTCGTGCCTCAGTTTCCCCATTTCTCGGCAGAGCAGAAACGAATCATCCCACGGCCCGCTCAAATCAGCGCCTGGCGGTCCGTCCGGGCCCCCGTAGCCTGAGCTGACCCTTTTTGACCCCCGTAGTGTGAACGGACCTCGCCTCACGAGGATCTTCTTCTGTCCCCACCCCCACCCGTGTTCGGGCCGCACCTACACAGCCGCTCCCGAGCCTGGCTCTGAGCACTGAAGCGAACCCAGGCGTCCATGACAGCGACAGCCCCGGCTCCGTAGCTCCCGCCTCACTTCCGCCCCACTTCCCGCCCCTCGTCACGCTTCCTGGACGATCAACGGTGTCTCGCGAGGGACGAATATCGCCCGAAAAGCGAGCGAGTGAGGCCGGCCTCGGAATTTCAGAACGAGAAGCGTTTGTCTCTCAACCACCACCGGCGTTTTGGAGTGTGTCTCTGTCAGAATATACTCTGATTGGATGGCCTCCATTTCCGAAGCACGCCTCCTCCGGCGGTACATTCTTTAAATATTCTGGACCGGGGGCGGGGCTTGCAGGTGTAGGGGCGGGGCAAGAAGGCACAGCAGCATCTATCCTCCGCTGCTGGAATGGGATTGACCCCCGGAAGCTTCCAAGACACGCCCTCCCCATCCCCAAACACACACGCACACGCGCTGCGGCTGTAGGGGCCAAAGAAGTCTATGGAGGTAGACGCCAGTACCAGATCCCTGTTCGCTGCAGGAGCCTGACAGTTGGGCATGTGACCTCCAGGATATAGATGGGAGTCTCCGGAGACAGAAGCTTTAGTGGACCAAAGATCCTAATGAGGACGAAGAATCACTGGACAAAGCTAACCTCTTCATACTTATATCTCATCCTCCCATCCCTTTCCCTTCCAGGTCACCATGTGTGTAGGCAATGGCACCCCTCAGGGATTAGCAGCAGGGGAGGAGGTCTGGGCAGGATAGGAAGTAGAGATGGAGGGCTCAGAGCTGCCCACCTTCTCAGCTGTGGCCAAGGTCCGAGTGGGAGTGACCATTGTGCTGTTCATTTCTTCAGCTGGAGCGAACCTGGCCACCCTGTGGTCAGTGACCCTGCCACAACCCAGTCATCTCCGCCCCTCCCATATACAACTCTTTGCCCACTTTGCAGCTGCAGACTTACTAGTGACTTTTGTGGTTATGGCCCTAGATGCCATTTGCAATACCACTGTTCAGTGGCTGGCTGGGGACATTGCTTGTCGGACACTCAGGTTTCTGAAACTAATGGCCATGTATGCTGCAGCTTTTCTGCCAGTGGTCATTGGACTCGACCACCAGGAGGCTGTACTCCACCCACTTGGACCCCGCTCAGCTGGAAGGAAACTTCTGGGGACAACTTCCTGCTCACCTTGCCCCAGGTGAGTGACTTCTTGGGACTCAAGCCTAGACTGGACAAGAATTTGGGTACACAGGAGTGTTTGGAGTCAAGGAGTGTGTTTGGCCAGTGTTCACCCATTAATCTTCAGAGGAGAGCCTCTGTTTTGCAAATTAAGATCACTGCATGTTAATCTGTATCTCTATTAAGAGCCTACCTCTTAAAAGCAGTACCCCAGGTGCGGGTACGGGTACACCTGCCTGGGTAGCTCAGCAGTTGAGCATCTGCCTTTGGCTCAGGTCGTGATCCTGGGTCCAGGGATGGAGCTCTGCATCAGGCTCCCTGTAAGGAGCCTGCTTCTCCCTCTGCCTCTGTCTCTGCCTCTCTCATGCATAAATAAATAAAATCTTAAAAAAACAACAGCCCCCCTAGCTATGCAAACGCTTAACCGACTGAGCCACTCAGGCAGCCAGTCTATGCCTCTTCCTTTAACTTTGTTTTGCTATGCTTGGCTCCCATCTTTTTGCATCCTCCCAGTTCCATCTTCTTCAGGAGACCGTTGCAGAAAACTCTAGGGATTAAACATTTATGAAGGCCTATAAAGACAGTGAAATCAGGGGCTTTGGTTAAAACTCTGTGGAAATTCACTCTTCCATTCAATAAATAATGTACATCACCCCAGGTACATTCAAATGCTCTATCAAGGATTGAGCAGCAAAGACCTGCCTTCAGTAAACTTAGACTTAGTGCAAAAGACATGTTAGTGTCCAATTATATAGTACAGCATGCAGTCAAGCATTATGCTAAAAGTAAGCATAAGGGGCTAAAGAACATTGAGGATGTTTCACCCACTCTTGGTCAGGGAAAACTTCTCAAAGATGTTAAAATTGATTGTTAAAATGAGAGAGGTGTCAGACAAGTTGAAGCAGAAGGAATGCTGGGGAGGGTGGAAGGTAGAGGAATCAAAGTGGTTGCAGCTAAAGTTGAGGGCTAGACAAATGGGTAATGAGCCTGGATGGGAAGGAAGAGCCAGATTACAGATATTCAGCTTGTGCTTTATCCTGAGGGCCGTGGAGAGTCATCAAGGTAGAAGGTAGAGTGACAAAGATTAGTACTTTTTCACTCTAGCTTTATTATGAAAACTAGAAAGAAAACGGAGCATCTGGACTTGAGTACCAGTTATCAAATCTCAAATATTGACAATGAACTAGAAATTTAGGGGAAGAAAACAAAATATGAAGCAATTCCTATAAGACCAAAATCAAAATCACCACCACCCTCTGAAGGGAAGTAGAGCAGCATCTTGGGGACCGGGATTAGGATATTATCTAGAAGGGGCTCTGGAATGATAATGCATTATAGAATCAGATTTAAAAATTGATCCTTAAATCCTCAAATATTAGAAATGTAACTACAAAGTTAGTCTGATTCTAGTTCTAAGACAAAAAATAGTACTTCCAACAATGTTGCAAACAGGACCTCTGCTACCCAAAGCATTAAAAAGCAGCACTGCTTCCTCAGTGCAAAAGGTATTAGTTTATATGAAGCAAGTTTTAGATGTGGACTGGGAGGTTAGAAGCCTGCTTTCGTTGCTCTGTTTTTTCTGAGTCTAGGCTCTACTACTAACTCTAGCTATAGGACTTTGGCTAAATCACTTGAAACTAACGGGCCACAAGATATTGTATAGTTTTATCCTTTCTTACATTCTGACAACTGCAATCTCCATCTGCTTCAATGGCAAACTGATGACATTACATGTGCAAACGGTGCTATTTTTGGTTCCAAATTACCATCCTCTTGTATAAATTCTACATTGCCCATATGTTGTATTTAAAATGTTAATACTGGGATCCCTGGGTGGCGCAGCGGTTTGGCGCCTGCCTTTGGCCCAGGGCGCGATCCTGGAGACCCAGGATCGAATCCCACGTCAGGCTCCCGGTGCATGGAGCCTGCTTCTCCCTCTGCCTATGTCTCTGCCTCTCTCTCTCTCTCTATGACTATAATAAATAAATAAAAATTATAAAATAAATAAATAAATAAATAAATAAATAAATAAATAAATAAATAAATAAATAAAATGTTAATGCTGCTCCAAGGACTAATAGGTCAATTAAAAAAAAAAAACAACCTTTTTATAACTGTGGTGTTAGTGTAGTGAAGGAGTACTGGAGTGGTTACAAATTATCTTTGAAGGCTCAAGTTTCTAAATATCACAAGTAGTAGAAAGGAAGGTTTCTGTGGTAGGTGGAAAATTGCATATAACGGGGAAGGAAGAGAAGAAACAGACCAAGCTCTTAAGTCCAGGAGCCTTGCCTATTTTAAACTCCTTTTCACAATTTGTCAGCTGTATCTAGGTACAGTGCAAAACAACCAAACCACCAAACAAAACCCCAGAAATATATGGAATCAAGACAGGGGAACAGGAAAGACCACTTCCCAACTAGCTCAAGAGTAGCTGATCATATCTCCAAGCTTGTGTTTATAAACCTGTATGTCTGGCTGATACTATTCACCTTTCCTAAAAGTCCCTCAGGCCTGCTGAAATCACTTTCCCAATGCCTTAGCTCTAGGAACCTGACATCCACTAGGCTTGCCTTTTATCAAACAGTGACTCAATCTGCCTTACCTGAACCAAGGTACTAACCCTGAAGCTCTAAACTGAAAAATACTCTAAGATTCAAACCCAAAACTCAACAATTTACCAAAAAGGGGGAGGAGCAGCCAACAGCATTTGGAAAATGTTAAATTTTATTAATATTGTTTCACTGTAATAGTTATTGTACATAAGACTATTTACTAAAGGTCACTTCACAGAGTGGCTGCAAAATGGCCTGAAATTTTAGCAGCACCCATTTTATACAAAAATTCTTCCACAGATTTAGACACATCAGAAAAATCATTTCAGCTAAAAATGTTGGTGAGGTGGCAGAAATATTCTTTTGCAAAGTGCAATGGACTTTAGAATGGTACTTGAGAAGGCAAGATTCCTTAAGTCCCAGGATTTAACAAACTTAAATGATTAGCTACATAGCCTAAGGGGAAGATAGAAATTCTCAAGTTTTTAACCTTTTAAATATGGCACTATGGATGGACGCAGCACTACACAGCTCTGCAGAGAAGGAAGGATGAATTGGAATTGCGTGACTGGAGGGAAGGGAGAAGGGGGACCAGTTCTAATAGTCCTCAAACTCCTCTCTAGCTGTTCCTGTTCCACACTGTCCACCAAGCTGGCCCAGTCCCCTTCACTCAGTGTGTCACCAAAGGCAGCTTTGATGGCAAGAGATCACCTATAACCTCTTCACCTTCTGCTGCCTCTTTCTGCTGCCACTGACAGCCATGACCATCTGCTATAGCCCATGTCCTCAGTAGTGTGTCTGGTCTCCAGACAAGGAAGGGGAACTACGGTGAGACTACAATCCCTGGGCTCCAATCCATACCCTAAAAACTACTGCTTCTAGCCTGACTGACAGCTGTCAAACCAAAAATGGTATCATAACCATACCCCAGTACCTGATGCTGCCAGTATTTTCTAAATGCCTTCAATTCTAACCAGCCTCTAGCCACCCTCTGAAGCTGAGTTAGCTGGGCAAGGATTAAGGAGAAAGGTGATTAGTATTCTGCTTTAGTCTTAGACACCGTCAAGTCTTCAAGTAGACTCAGTAGCTTCATAGAACACCACACCTCAATCAAAACCTCTTCTCCAGCATGTCTGTCATAATCCTGGGGGGGGGGGGGGGAGCATATATTCCCAGGTGGGGAAGAAGAGGATTTGCAGCATTACCACCTATTTGTCATATCCTCTTCCCTGTATCAGGAGAGCTCCAGCTCATCATCTCTGCCTATTCATCTGTTCACTCTACACTCAATTCAGAAACTGAGTGATTCTGAATTTGAGTATGTTTTCTAAAATCCCAGCCCCTGCCAGTGAATTTGCCCTCCGCCGCTCCTTAGACAACCGCTCCTGTGTACATCTGCAGGCCCTGCGACTGGCCCTGATTGTCTTGCTGACCTTCCTCTTCTGCCAGACACCTTATTACCTACTGGGCTGTGGTACTGGTTCTCTCCCACCATGCTAAATGAAGTCTCCCCCAGCCTCAGCCAAATCCTTTTCCCTTTCGGCCTTCTCAATGCTCCTCTGGATCCTCTCTTCTATGGGGCCTTTACCCTTGGCTGTCAAAGAAGGCACCAAGAACTCAGTATAGACTCTTCTAAGGAAAAAAGATTCTGAGAGAATGCCCCGACAGGAAATGCAAACCCTTAGACAGCTGGAAGTACAAACAAATGTGGCAATAGAAAGGACAGGAGAAACAAAAGACACATTCCTATAACATCCATTTGCTCAGACAGAGTATACAGGAACAAAGTAACTAAGCTTTTATAACACCTCACTTCTACCCCTGCTCTCTTAGCTTCTAAGAAAAATACTTTGACTCTGAGACTTGAGATTATATCTAATGTAGAAAGTCACACAGAATTGAGTCCTTAGAAGTATCCTCATAGTGACCCATACTACCTTACTGTAAATAGTGCTTCAGAGCTTGCAATGTTAGAAAAGTAATTTTAAATGTACAAAACAAAAAATGGGACATTTATTCATAATTCAAAAAAAAAAAAACCCACTAAGTAGGATAAGAGATTAAATATAAACAGTGAGTTCCACCTCAGCCCTATTTCTCCAAGGCTGCATGGTCAAATAGAATCTCTGGAGAGAACATCTGGACAACAGAGGACCTGTCAGCGCCGCCTCCTGTCTGGACTCCTGCTGCGTCTTCGGCCACCTCTAGGGAAAAGGAAGGGTCCATCAGGAACATAATACAATGTCCTTATTCTGTTCTGCTCATGTTCCCTTCACCAAGATAGTTTGCCCTCTCCACTTTACCTCCTCTTGCCCTTTGGCGGACCCCGAACAAAACACCAGTCCACACTGATCGGCTGTCCCATCAAATCCTGGCCATTGAGTCCCTCCATAGCAGCCTGGGCTTCCTTGTATGTTTCATACTCAACTAAAGTATACCCCTGGGATAAGTGAAAAGACAGAGATCAAAACCCTCATATTCCAAACACTACTGAGCATCTTCTTCCTCAGATCTAAACTCATACTCAAATAGAAAAATCTATAGATTTTATATACAACAGATGTACATCATATATCCTTACTGTGTATATATTCAAAATATGTTTCTATCTCTTTGCTGTGTCTGACAAAATCAATTTTCAATCTCATTTATTTCAACTTTGCTCTCTTTGGCCAATCAGAGAAAACATGGGAGAACTACCAAAGCTGTCTAAAGGTTGTGAGGGCAGAGAGGCAACAACAGTAGGATACCTTCAAGTATCCTGTACGCCTGTCCAGGTTGAGGTGGATGTTTTTTATCTCCCCATATTCTGCAAATTTGTCATGGATGTCTTCTTCGGTGGCTTCCTCATGGACTCCAGTGACAAAGAGAATCCAGCCTTCAACAGCTGTTGGGGAAGGGAAAGAGTTTTGTGCACAGAAGAAAAATTTCAAGCAAGATCACAAGAGTGGATTAAGGTATCTCCGACCCCATTCCTACTGGGTTTTATTTCATAGGTCCATAATACACTAGCGTCCATCTCACTTACAGCGTTGCGGTCCGGGTTCATCTCCATCCTGCTCCACACTGTCATAATCCTCACGCATCCGCGCTCGAGACCCTTCTTCTATATGGAACATACAAGAGATCACCAGAAATCCCTTCTACCACTGTTCCCCATGAGTGTGAATGGGGACTCCAAAACTCGTAGCAGTCGCCATTCTACACCATTTTCCCCACAAACACTCACCGGAGCCAAAGCCGCGGCCCTTCCGTTTCTTTGCCTTTTCTTTCAATTTGTGGATGCTCTCTGGATCCCCAGAAGTGAAAGAATGAGTAACAAAAATAACAGGTATTTACAACAATAGTCTCTTTACGGAGGCATTATCTGAAAGCAGCCCCACCACCTCCAGTCCCATTTCCCTCCCGGTCCCGCCCCCATTCCTCCCGAAGGGGGCGCAGTCTCTAATCCAATCGAAACTCAGTTCTACTCCCATCCGCCCTGCCGGGAAGGGCAATTATTTTCCTATTACTCCCTTCTTTCGCACCTTCCCGGCTTCCCGCAGCTGCCTCCACTGTCCTCACCGTCCCCATCTTCATCCATGGCGAAATCCTCGCCCCCAGCCTCATGAAGGTCCAGCACGTCCGCCATCTTGCCTGCCTTCTTACTCCCGTCGGTGCCGCTCAGGCACTAGGCACCTCGGGAAACTGTCGCGGAGGGGAAAGGTCACTAGTCAAGCTGACCAATCAGAAGCTAAGTCTAAGTCCCGCCCCCGGCGCGGTGAAAATACGCAAAAGAAGGCGGGCCTAGTTCCGGAAGATGTCGGAAGTGCTCCTGTAGCCATCTTGAGCAGGTGGCGAGCTGAATGGAGTGGTGCTCTAAGGGACAAGCTAGTGGGTAGGTGCAGGCAGCGGCTTCCTATTAATTAAGGCAGCCAAGGAGAAATACTGTAGTCAGCGAAGCACAGCCCAGTTTCTCTATTGGAGGATTGTTTTCTGTCTCCTTGAACTCCATAGGAAATGGAAGTTGAATTTTTTTTCTCTCTCAAAACTTCTAGACCCGTAACCTGTTTTGAGGAGCAGCTAGCTGGGTCTGTGATGGAAACATTTTTAAAATAGTTCATTCAGCAATGCTAGCTCAAAAAGCCGAGTCTGGCTCGTACTGCAGCGGCGAATTTCTCTTAAGGAAGCTAATCTGGTTGTGAATTAGGATTGCTGAGACGGCTATCGGCTGCCTTTTTTTTTTTTTTAAAGATTTATTTATTTATTTTATGATAGACATAGAGAGAGAGAGAGGCAGAGACACAGGAGGAGGGAGAAGCAGGCTCCATGCCTGGAGCCCGACGCGAGTCTCGATCCCAGGATCAAAGGCAGGCGCCAAATCGCTGATCCACCCAGGGATCCTCCCGCCCCCCCCCCTTTTTTTTTAAAAGATAAACTCTCAAACTCTTCCCACCACCTCCAGGAATTTAAAAGAAAAAAAAATTCATGGCTTTCAACAAAATGGGGACTCCGGCTTCTTTGGGAATGGTGTAGGTATTTCGTGTTTCAAGACCCATATTGCCCGCAAAGTTCGGAATCCTGATGTAGGCCTTCAGCAATAGTGGACTGCAGGTTTTCACATTATTTTTTAATCAAACAGTTATAATGTGTGTACCGGGGATCCCTGGGTGGCGCAGCGGTTTGGCGCCTGCCTTTGGCCCAGGGCGCGATCCTGGAGACCCGGGATCGAATCCCACGTCGGGCTCCCGGTGCATGGAGCCTGCTTCTCCCTCTGCCTGTGTCTCTGCCTCTCTCTCTCTCTCTCTCTCACTGTGTTCCTATCATAAATAAATAAAAATAAAAAAAAATGTGTGTACCTAGTATTAGAGAAGGTGCTGGCAATAGAGGAAAAATAATTATCAACAATTACTTTATATAATTACATTATGATAGTGACAATTGCTATCACTAAGTGCTTAGGAAGTTTATAAAGGACTGGGAGCAAGAAGGCTTCCATATGAACTGGGCCTTTAAGGCTGTGTAGTTTCCAGGTAAAGTGGTTGTACTGAGACTAGGAGGCACTAATTCTCCACAGTAGGTAATGTGATCTTTGGAAAAAATCAGCTGGTGATATCATTGCCCAAAACCTTTATTTTTGCACTTGGAATAAAATTAAAATACCACCTGCTCTGCCTGTCTCCCAATGACTTCCATCACCAATTTTCCCTCCCATTAAGTTCTCTCTACACTTTTCAGCTATGTTGTCTCTTTCCCATCTCAGGACTTTTGCAACTTTCTGCCTTTTATGCTCTTACTCCAGCTCTTCACATGGCTCGTTCAACCTCTCATTCTTTAGGTCTCCCTAAAATACTACCTCACCTGAAGGGTTCTTCTCTACTATCTTCACTCTATTTCCTTACCTTGTTTCCTTTCTATCTTGTTTATTGTCTGCTTTCTCAGAGTGTAATCCTTGTGGCAGAGACTCTTATATCCCTCTTAGGGATATAAAGATATCCCTACAGTTTATTTTTTTTTTTAATTTTTATTTATGATAGTCACAGAGAGAGAGAGAGAGAGAGGCAGAGACACAGGCAGAGGGAGAAGCAGGCTCCATGCAGGGAGCCCAACGTGGGACTCAATCCCAGGACTCCAGGATGAGGCAGGCCCTGGGCTGAAGTCAGCGCTAAACCGCTGAGTCACGCGGGCTGCCCTCCCTACAGTTTAGAACAGTGTCTGGCTCACAGACACACAGACATTTGATACATACTGAAGGAACAAATATCAGAATGGCAAGAAGTTCTGTTTACCTGATGCTACATGGCTAGGAAATAAAGCTGGAAGTAGAGGTTGCTGCCAAAATGTATGCCATGCTAAGGATTTTGAAATTTTATCCCGTAGGCAATGATTTCTCGATTTCAGGTGTTTGAGTGTTCATGATTTTTCACAATTGCAGATAGCCCCCATGCTGTCTCTTGATTAGTATTTTTCCTTAAGTTGACTGACTTATTAATTAAACAAGCTTATAGTGAATTTAAGTATCACTGCCATAAAGGTAAAATCTGTATTTTTTTTCTATTACAGTTTCAGATTAGAATATAAATGAAGATGAAAAATGTTTGCCCATCTACCACCTAAAATGTCTCAGATAATACCAGGGGTTCACATATAAAACTTTAGGGAATGCTGCTAAAGACAAAAATAGTTAAGTGATGGTTTAAGCATGATAGTGGTACACTACCAAGTATTTTAGAAAGAAGTCTGACGATAGTGTGGAGGATGTTAAGAATGAAGACAGAGCTAGTTAGGAAGCTATTACAGTGGTCCAGTCCAGAGATGATAAATGATTGAGAACTAAGGCAGTGGATATGGACAGGACAGATTAAGAAGTTTATATAGGAGGGGCACCCAAGTGGCTCATTTGGTTAAGTGTCCGGCTCAGGTCACCATCTCAGGGTCCTGGGATCCAGCTCTGTGCTCAGCAGAGTCTGCTTGAGGATTCCCTCTCGTTCTCCCCTTGCTCCATCCTTGCTCATATTCTCTGTCTTTCAAAGAAATAAATCTTTTTTTTCCTTCTGATTAGATCATGGTAGGGAAAAGTTGAGGATGGATCTAAGATTCTAACTTAGATAGTTGGGTAGATAAGAATCTGAATAACAGGGGCACCTGGATGGCTCTGTGGGTAAGCACCTGCCTTTGGCTAAGGGTGTGAGTCCCCCATGGGGCTCCCCTAGAGGAGCCTGCTTCTCCCTCTGCCTATGTCTCTGCCTCTCTCTGTGTCTCTCATAAATAAATAAATTCTTTTAAAAAGTCCTAATAATAGATTTGGGGAGAAAAAAGAGGAGCATATATGAAATAGCTTTTATTTTGAATATGAGTTCAAAGAGCTTGTGTTAATACATTTAGGTGGTGATGTCCAACATGTGGAAATATAGATGTAAAAGCTCAAAACAGTGAAAGAAATAGATTTGAGAATGGTATGTATTATAGAGTTGAAGTCACCATGGTGGGTAAGATTGCCAGTGGAAATGCATAGAGCTTCAGGTTGTGATCCCGGGGTCCTGGGATCGAGTCCCGCATTGGGCTCCTCACGGGGAGCTTGCTTCTCCCTCTGCTTGTGTCTCTGCCTCTCTCTGTGTATCTCATGAATAAATGAAATAAAATAAAAATAAGATAAAAAAAAAAAAGGAAATGCATAGAGCTTGAGAAGAAAGGACCAGTGAGAAAATCTAGGCTCCTGAAATATCTGGAGAAGGGGAGGCAGAACGCCTTCCCCCAACAGAACAATCTTATTTCTACTACCCGAAAAAACACTAATCAAAATTCTTTTAGTGTACTTGTAAAAGAAAGGGTCATTTTAGAGCTCCTCTGATATATAGGTCTCAAGAAAGAATCAATCTGGCTCACTAGACAAAAATCTGTTTTTAATTGTATAAAATTATACATATAAAATACATAGGAAGTACTAAAATGGTAAGTAAAATCTTTAACAATGAAAGTGGACAGATAAGGGAACAATTTTTCTCAAGTTCTTTGGGATCTTACTGGTTGTTATTTGAGAAAAATAATCCAAGAGGTGCAAGAAAAAGTTCTTCCCATAACTTACACCTCTTCACTCTTCCCAGAGAAAGGAGCATAGGAGAAATGAGAGTTTATGATTTCTGGATTATAAATATCAATAAAAGCAGAATAGACATACCTACTATTAATGTAGGAGCCTCTACTCCAACTCTATATGAGCTTCATGGTATACAGACATGGGGCTTAGAGAATTCAAGGAGGTCCCTTTCAAACACTAAAACAGTTGCTAGACTCCTTACTGCTGATCCCATATGTGCTGGTCACCAAGATGATTTCAAAAGCAAAAAAGCAGACTTTCATTTTTGTCCCTATCTAGTCCAAAACAGTAAATTGTGGCCTATTTCCTAATCTATTTCTAAGAACAAAGTGTATCATCATTAAATGAAAAGTCCAATTGCAGAAACATGAAACTCCCCAAACACATTTTAGAAAGTGCACTGAACTATCATACAATATAAAGGAGATTATAGAAACAAGGGGAAAATACATCTTTGAGAGACCTAGAAAAATTTCTCCCAAAGAGAAATGCTTTAGCTATACTCAAGATCATTTATCTCCTATTTCACCCAGGAGGGGGTGGGGGGAGGGAGTCTTAAAAACACAAATAGTTGATCATCAAGTCTCTTTGCCCTCCTGCAGTCTCCCAAGGTTCCAATTAGGAAGTGCCATAATGCCAGGCTCATTTTCCTGATGGACTCATGCTCTCAACATGCAATCAACATGGAGAAAAGAGAAAAAACTGAATTTATGGACATCTAAGGTGGCAACAGCAGCAACTTTGAGGGAGAGAGAGAGGAACATGGCCTTCACCAAACAGGACAGCTGTTTCCAAAGAGCAAAATGATGGGAGGAGAGAGAGTAGGGAAATATGTTTTCCCTTTTACCAATCTCTGCAGGCAGGAAGGTCTAAATACTGGACTCAACTAAGCTGGGTGAGCACAGGAGGAGGAGTGAAAAGGGAATGTTGGAAGATCAGCAGCTTCAACCCTGATCCCTTTTGGAGCACGGAATACATCAAGAAAGCTAGTTTACCAGCGTGGTATGGTATCTATGCCCCAGAGGCATTTAGGTGATAAACACCGATGGACTGTGTTTCTAATTCCTCTCCTCTTTCTGGGAAGTTCCTCAGGAATGATTTTAACAATAAGACACCAAATTTCCACTTCCTTCCAAATAATAAAGGAAGCCTCAAAATGAAGTACCACTTGAAGTCAGAGGAGGAGTAAGATAGTAGTGGGGAGTCTAGGACAGGAAATACCTAGTTACTGAAGAACAACTCAGTACCAAGTAGGCTTAGATCAAGATACCAAAGCCAAAAGCTTCATACTCATACCCTGTTTGGAATCCATGAGAAAACAGGATGAGGGTGAGTGTGGGGCACATAGTCCTTATTCAAACTCCCTGTTATATGATAAGAACACTTTGTCAATCACCTTGTGCTACTGAAATGACTACAGAGTTACCAGGAGTGTTAAGAGCCAACAAAACTCTGAAGACAGCCTGCTCTTCTTACAAAGTGGAGTGGCAATGTTTCAAATGAAACTACATCCAAAAACTAGAAGAAAAGGGATCTCTCAGCAAATAGGAATCTGAGTGTAGAATTTATATATATATATATATATATTTATACATATATATATATATTTTAAAGTATAAAATATATATATATGTAAAAGTATAAAATTGAGGAAGTATGTACAGAAATCAACTAAGTCTTAGAAAAGACATTATAAAAAAAGGCCTAGAGAGGATGGGGAGTATATGAGTGGACACCTAGCAGTTGGAAGAATGCATATTGCCCAACTGCCCAGCAGCCAGCAAGAGAATATCTTTCTTCTCCTTGTGGAAACGCAGCTCCTTGCCTGCCAGCCGGGCTTCATCCAGCTCCCGCTCAGTAGAGGCCAGCTCTCTAGACAGTGCCCCTGGCACACTTTGCTCCCGGCTCACCCAGTCCAATGCCATTTGGTGGCGAATATCATCATCCAGAGCCCGGTGTGAATAATGAGCCAACACTTCCTGGAAGGGGAGAGGAAAAGGAAGATCACTGAAAAGGTCAGGGTTCATACCACATTGACCCAACAGGACTAGGAACTCTTAGCCTTGGTGTCCCTAAGTGAAGTGAAGTTAGCACTTAAGTCCTCTAAGGAGATTCTTTTTTTTTTTTAGAGATTTTATTTATTTATTCATGAGAGACAGACAGAGAGAGAGAGAGAGAGAGAGAGACAGAGACAGAGACAGAGGCAGAGGCAGAGGGAGAAGCAGGCTCCATGCAGGGAGCCTGACAGTGGGACTCGATCCCTGGTCTCCAAGATCAGGCCCTGGGGTGAAGGCAGCACTAAACTGCTGAGCCATCGGGACTGCCCTCTAAGGAGATTGTTAAGGGAAACTTCCTGGTGGGTGAAGCAAGGCAGGCAAAAGAATCACAGCTAAGATCTAAATAAGAAAGATAGGAATGAAGAGGGCACTTTAAGTGAGGCTTTCAGTATTCACAAACTGGTAACTATAGGCCTGCTTATTTCTAACAGAACAGCCACTTCAACATAGTCCTCCTGCCAGACTCTTCTCACCTATAGGATCTCTTACCTGCCGAGAGCACTGTCTTTCCCTCATGGCCTTAAGGCTGCCATTCCAGTGCAGCAGTTGAAAGACTGTCATTAGTTCCTGGGGTAAGAAAATATGAAGTGTCAGGACAGTGATTTTATATTGAGAGGTTGCATCAGAATTACATGGGGAACTTTTTACAAAATGTATTTATGTGAGTACCTCATACCAACTCTGATATGCCCTTTGGGAATGGAAGGTACTTACATTTTAAAAAATAGGACACATAAAAAAAATAGGACACATATAAATATATATACATATATATATTTATAGCAGGCGATGTTTTCAAATGAAACTATATATATATATAGTTGTATATGTATAATATATACATATACATATGTATACATATATAGTACATACATATATATATGTATAGTTGTGTGTATGTGTGTGTATATATATATATATATATATATATATATATATATAGTTGTATATGTTGATCCATGTTATTAGAGCCAGAGAAGTACTGGAATAGTACCTGGAACTCCAACATTGACTTGCCCTTATTGGATTCCAACATGAATCGGAAGGCACCAATCCCTGTATTTGGGTTGTCAGCTTCCTCCCTGTTGCCCTGTAACAGAGGAAAGGAAAAGACAAATAGATTTCCAATTGGTATTATAACCTCAAGCAGCACTATCCAGTAAATATAATGCAAACCCCCAACCTAATTAAAAATGCCGTGGATGTCTGGGTGGCATCTGACTTTTGGTTTAGGCTTGGGTCATGATCTCAGGGTTGTGGGGTCCAGCCGTGTAGGGCTCTGTACTCAGCATAGAGTGTGCTTGGGTTTCTCTCTCTCTCCTGCCCACCCACCCTGTGCACAGTGCAAGCTCTCTCTCTCTGAGATAAAAAAATCTTTAAAAAATAACATTTCCTAGTTGCCACATTATACAGGTAAAACTAATTTTAGTAGCATGTTTTATTTAAGCTAATATATTCAAAATATTATTTTGACTATAGTTAGCATAAACGTTTTTAATGAAATATTTTACATTCTTATACTTAGGGTTTCAAAATCTGATGTCTCTTTCATGCTTACAGTACATCTCAATTCATACTAGCCACATATGAAGTGTTAATAGCTACATGTGGCTGGTGGCTATTCTGCTGGTCAGCATAGACCTAGAAGACTCCAGAGTCATCACACATATTAACTCAGGAGACAGAGGTCAATCTAATTTTTCCTATCTTACAAAGAGGGAACATTGGACATAGAAAAGAGTCTTGATTTAGCCAAAATAACAAAATGAGTTCAGTATATAGAATTGGACTAGCCTAAAGGAAAACTGGGCAAATGCATCTTATTATATTCTTAAAAGGTTTTATTTATTTTTAAAAGATTTATTCATTAATTAATTAATTCATTCATGAGAGCCACAGAGAGAGAGTCAGAGACACAGGCAGAGGGAGAAGCAGGCTCCCCACAGAGAGCCTGATGGGGCATTCGATCCAGGGTTCCGGGATCACACCCTGAACCCAAAGCAGACACTCAACTACTGAGGTGTTGAGCAGCCACCCAGGTGTCCCAGAAGAGAGTAAGTTCTTAAAACCAAAATTGGGAAAAGCAGAATTTAAGATCCATTTTTATTTTGGATTTATTTCTAAAATTCCAAAAATCTTGAATCAAAGGTTTCTAGATCCCAAAGAGACACAATGAAGGAGGCAAAATATCAACAAAAACATAAACATACACATAGAATCAGTGACTGAGACATAGGAAGCATGTAAAACACAACATCGCCATAGAATAAACAGAAAGGGGTACACACAGGAAAGAAAACAAGAACTCCTGCTCTGTTTCCCAGTGATTTACAAGACTTCCCAACCAGCCAGTTCTTCCAAACCCCATTCTCTTTTCTTTCAACTCCCAGTAACTTACATTGAAAGATGCCAGGGCCTCAGAGACACTCTTCTCAATGAACTCATCAGTGATTCTTCGGGAAGGATGTTCATTAAACACAGAGTTCATCAGTGCAATCTTTGCAGCACTCCTCCGGGCCTCAGCTTTTGTGGGGCAAAACTAGGCAGGGCAGAGAGAGAAAATACATATGTCTGTGTGTCCGAGAAAGGGGAAAGAACGCTGGGAGTGAAACACTGGGCTAGAAGGCACTTGGACAGTCATTGGATAAATCAGTTTGTTCAGCACACCCTCCAAAGTTTGTATTGTAAAATGGTTGAAGCATTTGGAAACATAATTTTCATTCAACATCCTGAAGTCATTAAGGAACTGGAGACGGCGATAGCTCATACCAAATTGAATCCAGAATGAAGAAGGCTGCTGAAGTCAGCATTATAATCACTGGATATAAAAAAAAATACCACAGTTTAAACTGTAGACAGAATTAATTACTCAAAAGCCAGATTCTGACCAGCCTGTTCAAAATCTGCATCTTGTTCTCCTGTTCTGTGCATAGGCAAGATTTGTTTTCATCCCTCTAGATAGCCTAAGAGTAGAACAAATCTGTGTCTAGGTTGCTTCTGCAGAAGAGACCTCTACTCTCCACGAGAAGCACCCATCTGGGATTGTTGGGCTTCACTTTTAGCTTCGAGCAGGCAGTTCCCCCAATAATTCAGTGAGTCAATGACCTATCCCTGAACAAAGTCCAAGGTCTGAAGAACGAATTTATAGTCTTTTTCCCCCATTAGAAGCAAGGAAGAGAGAGGTAGGAAGGGGAAGGAAAGCTGCTTGAACAAAGCAAGTAAAACTAAAAGTTAACTCATGTTTTTTACATTGAATCCAACATAGGTATCATAGAACAAGTCTGATTTTCAGAAGTATTAAATCCTTCAACCTCAAATCCCCAGACACCATAGCATTCCTTTATAATTCATCATCACTGGCGGCCTCAAAGGCCTCTGTGCCCTCTGTCATTTATGATTAGGATTTACAGGAAAGGAAGAAATGAATGTTACAGTTTTTAAAAGTAGATCAGGGGATGCCTGGGTGGCTCAGTGGTTGAGCATCTGCCTTCTGCTCAGGGTGTGATCCCAGAGTCCCAGGCTGGAGTCCTGCATTGGGCTCCCTGCATAGAGCCTGCTTCTTCTCCGTCTGCCTATGTCTCTGCCTCTCTCTCTCTCTGTCATGGATAAATAAATAAAATCTTAAAAAAAAAAAAGTAGATCAGGATATGTTTGCTAATTAACTACCCTTAGTATCAATAACTCCCAATTTCCTTTAGCTAACAGGTCTCTCAAGATATGGTGCTTGGTGCATTAACCCTAAGTCATCATCTTTAATTTCTCTATTCGCTGGTCTGTCTCTACTCACTAGCCTGCTGCTTATTCTACAGTATGGTGCTATTCCTGAAAAGTCATCCATGAAGAAAACCAGCAGGAGAAATTTCACCTGCCAAAATGGGTATAAAAAAGTACAAGCTAAAAGAGGCCAAGATAGATAATTCTATTCTTTGGGGGAAAAAATCAAATTACTATAATGGTCCAATTATGGACATCACCATAAAATTATCAAACCCTTACACAACAGTAAGATATGGTGAGAGAAGAGAGGAGAGATCTTATTCTCTACAAGAGAAAGTATAAACATTAGTCATCTTGGGCATATATTTATTTTCTTGAAATGGCTGGGGTTCTGAGGTAAAAAATTTAGTTACCATATTTGAAATGAAGTCTCCTCAGGATTTTTCTGTGTGTGAGGCAGGAACTGAACTACAGTGGCCCTCATTCATGCCACGGATTTTTTAAGTGCCTTCTCTTTGCTGGGTGATGAGTTGGTAGTAAGGATTTAAAACTGAACAAGAAAGAAGACACACACTATCTCTGCCTCCATGGAGCATAATCCATCAGGTGAGATAATAAATTATGATATGTTGTAATAAGTGTTATGGGGCAGCCCGGGTGGCTCAGCGGTTTAGTACTGCCTTCAGCCCAGGGCCTGATCCTGGAGACCCAGGATCGAGTCCCACGTCAGGCTCCCTGCATGGAGCCTGCTTCTTCCTCTGCCCGTGTCTCTGCCTCTCTCTGTGTGTGTGTCTCTCATGAATAAATAAATAAAATCTTCTAAATAGGGATCCCTGGGTGGCACAGTGGTTTGGCGCCTGCCTTTGGCCCAGGGTGCGATCCTGGAGACCCGGGATCGAATCCCACGTCAGGCTCCCGGTGCGTGGAGCCTGCTTCTCCCTCTGCCTGTGTCTCTGCCTCTCTCTCTCTCTCTGTATGACTATCATAAATTTAAAAAAAATCTTCTAAATAAATCTTATTTATTTTTAATAAAATCTTAAAAAAATAAGTGATATGATAAGGGAAGTTCAAGGTGCTATGGAAGCACATGGCAGGGGTTATAACTTTGTCTAAGGGTTATTCAAACCATAAAAAGAGAAAAAAATGTCTATTCTCTAAATTCCTGTTCAGACTCTAGTTGACATTTCAGCAGGCTACCTTCCTATGGAGAATGTAAAAAGTCCATCTTTGATGACAATATTCACACTAGTCAATTTCTTTAAATAAAAACAATCCCACAGCATTTACTGTCCTCTGGGACTAACATAAAGGTAATCAAAACAATACAAACAAATATTTTAGAACTGCACTCCCAACAAAGGACATCTAAAAAAACAAACTACATGGCCTTCTCAAGAATTCTTCACTTCATTGATTGTTTCTAGTTGGAGACACTTTGGAGCAGGGTAATATTATCTCCTTATAGTATGATCCTACCCCATTGTTTTCCTGACTTTGTTTTAGAATGAATCTCTTCGGGCAGCCCGGGTGGCTGTTTAGCGCTGTTTAGCAGCCGGTTTAGCGCTGGCTTCAGCCTAGGGCATGATCCTGGAGACCCAGGATCGAGTCCCACATCAAGCACCCTGCATGGAGCCTGCTTCTCCCTCTGCCTGTGTCTCTGCCTCTCTCTCTCTCTGTGTGTCTCTCATGAATAAATTAAAAAAAATAGAATGAATCTCTTCGGCATCAACTAATAGGAGGCTGGCTCATGTACTCGTCAAAACCAATGATACACCCCTCTATCTCTATGTTCACTTGCTCACAAAGCCACACCTGAATCCAGGATCTATTGTGCAAGTATCTAATGATGAGGTTGATAGGCTGCACAACACCTTCTGCACTTTTTGGCCCTGGCCACGGTATGCCATGGTCCAAGCTGACAAAGTCCACTAGTCAAATTTCTTATTACTCTATAATAGCAACCACTCTTCATACATCACAGTTCTTTCAAATAATTGTAGAATGTTAGCACTGGAAAGACTTTAGGAATAAACTAACCTATCTCCTTCATGCTATAGATGGGGAAACTGAGGCCCAGGGAATTTATCTGACTTGCCCTGCTGGCAGTGAGGGGAATGGGAATTTGGATCTTCTAACTCAGATGAGCACTATTTTCACCATACATAGTTCTTCCTCTTTGACCTCTTAAAGAACTCAAACACTACTTTCTTTAGTAATTGCTTATGAAAAAGTCCTGGGGGTAGGGAATATTATTCTGTGTTCTCAAAAGAAATGGCAGGAAGTTGGACAGATTAGAACATGGGGTAGGTGCTGGTAGTCTGACACACTGAGTAAGGGCATATTCATCATCACTCCAATTCAAAGTGGATGTGAGTTTTTACAGGCTAAAGAAAGGCTACTGAGGTTCTAAATGAACCTCAGATGCTTACCAGAATGATCTTCCCAGAATGGGTTCAGGCCCTCAAATATGTGATTTCAGACAGAGATTTAATGGCCAAAGTGATGGAGAGAACCACTACTAGCAGCTAAGCATTTATCTTTGCTACTGCCACCTTGGAACTCTTACCTGGAAACTCCCAAAGCAGCTTCCCCCAGGCAGAGTGACGTAACAGACATAAGGAGGGCTGTTGGAGGGAACCATCTCATAAACCACCAGAGCCCCATTCTTCAAGTCTGCCCCACGGGACTGCTTCATCTGCCAGAATTCCTGAAGTGCCTCCACCACATTCACTACAAATAGAGAAGCAGTTAAATTCAGCAGTGAAAACATATCCAAAGTGGTTCTGTGCTTCAGTACGGTATCTGCAACCTGTACCTCCATTAAGAATCTAACCTGCCTTAGTTTCCTAACACCATTTTAAATACATTTAAATTAATAAACCTAGACTGTGATTAAGAGGTTTGCATAGCAAGACCAGAATATGCCTGGCCTCCTTCTCCATCTCTCTGGTTCACATTTTGATTAGTCCTGAACACCAAAGCTGAGTAACTTGAATACTGGAGGCAGAGTTTCCAGGTTAGCAGACCATTATCCCTGCTTCATGAAGTGCAAGTTGATCATTCCACAATTGGTCAGGTGACCTAGAATAATAATTTCCAGCACAATAAGAAGTGCATTTACTGAACATTTCCTGTGTGTCATGCACAGCTATCAGGGCTTCACCTATTTAATCACAAAAGCCTTATGAGGCAGGTACTTTCATTATCCCCATTTTACAGATGAGTGAAAATGAGACATAGGGAAGTTAAACACCTTGCCCAAGGATGTAACAGCTAGAAAGTAGCAGAGTAAGAATTCAAACTTAGGCTATCCTGGTTCCAGAGTCAATGTTCCTAAACTTTGTGCAATCCTGCCACTCACAGAAATGTGACAATGGCCCTTGTAGCCATCGTCAAGTCTATGCTTCAGGTGAGCAAACCTATAGCCAGAGTCCTTTTCTATCCTGGAATATTATGTATATGTACACACTAGACTGTGTGTGTCTGTGTATGTGTGCATAAATTTGTCTTCTGAGGAGTTCTCTAGGTAAAAGAAATTTTGGGAGGAACTGTATATTGAGAGACACTCCTTCACAGGTCTTTTGTGCTCCTTTTCCATCTTGCTAGGTATGCCAGGGTTTGAAGGACTTGGCTGCTCTTTACTTGGGTCATTTATCATGATTGTTTGCAGCAAGAAACCTGAGGGATGAGATAATGTCTCTCTCTAGGACAAAGAACAAGCCTGCTCTCTGCTTGTTAGAAAATGGCAGAAAGCTCAGCATTCCTCTTCTGTAATGCAACCTATGGCCTATGCAAGCATGGACCTGAGCCCTTCACATCAGACTTAGGAGGCAAGGGAAACTGATGCAAACAAATCTGATGCTTATGCTACCTGCTGTATTATGAATAAAAAGTCCTTTGTCTCTGACCCAGAAGTCTCTTGACTTCTGCCACCATTTGTCAAACAGTAACCGGCTAACATATTAGGATAAAATCAAACCCCAGACTCAAAACACTGTATTCCAGAATAGTCCCCTTGTCCCCCAATACTTGGCTCAATCATTGCACAAATATGTATTGAGTACCTACTCTGTGCTAGACTATGTGTTGGATGTTGGGCCATAAGAGCGAGCAAAACCATACACTGTTCCTTTTCCTTATGCAGTTTACAGCCTAAAGAGGGAGAGAGAGAGATTAACCAGAGGACCTCGAGCAAATGAAAAAGCGCTATAAAGGAGTTTGGTAAATGATAGGAAATGTGATAGGGGCATCTGACCTCGTTAAGAAGGTCAAAGACAGCTATCCCGACAAAGTGATATATAAATACAGATATGAGCACAAATTCACTAGGCAAAAAGGTGAGAGAATAGGGATCTGAACAGAAGGAACAACCTATAGAAAGGCTCTGTAGCAGCAGAGAAGATGGCAAATAAAAGGGACCAGTATGGCTTGAAAAGAGAGAGTGAGGGAAAGTATACAAGATTAGATTGCAAAAGTTAGCAGGGATGAGACCAAGTGGACCTTGCAGGCCACATCAGAGTACTGGATTTATCTTAAGAGCAGTGAGAAGCCATTGAAGGGTTTAAGACAGGAGGATGAAATCAGTTTTCTTTTGGAAAGGATCACTTTGACTGCAGGGTTCCCAATATTTCAAGTGACTTTTTTTTTTTTAAATTTATTTATGATAGTCACAGAGAGAGAGAGAGAGAGGCAGAGACACAGGCAGAGGGAGAAGCAGGCTCCATGCACCGGGAGCCCGACGTGGGATTCGATCCCGGGTCTCCAGGATCGCGCCCTGGGCCAAAGGCAGGCGCTAAACCGCTGCGCCACCCAGGGATCCCTCAAGTGACTTTTTATTTTTATTTTTTTAAGATTTTATTTACTCATGAGAGACAGAGAGAGAGAGAGAGAGAGAGAGAGAGAGAGAGACAGACATAGGCAGAGGGAGAAGCAGGCTCCCTGCAGTGAGCCTGATGTGGGACTTGATCCCAGGACCCTGGGGATCACGACCTAAGCCACGGGCAAATGCTCAACCACTGAGCCACTCAGGCATCCTTCAAGTGGCTTTAATAAAGGACTCACAATAATAAATGATCACATGCATTCTCCAATATCCTTCAACATGACACTCTCTACTCTTAGTTATGAGGACTCATTCATTCTTTTATATTGTGTTAGTTTAGGTCTGCCAAGGAGAAGATATCAAGATTGGATACACAAGCAGATTTATTGGGGAGGAAGTAGGAGAAGGGAGAGGCTTCAGACCATGCTAAAGGTCTGACAACTGTAGAAAGGGTGTGTGGGAAGGAAGGAGATCTGCATGTGAGAATCTCCGTCAGCAGTGCAGTTCCAAGAAAGGTTTGGCCAGGCCAGTAGGAAGTCTACAAGCCAAAGGAAATCCACATCAGGATGTGCCTGAGTTAGCGCCCATGCTGGGCTCAGTCACTGGCTTGGGGCAGCTTGCACGATGTGTGGCTTCAGTGCAATGTGGTGATGGACACAGAGGGGATGGCAGCTTAAGGCTGTCAGGCAGTTATGCCCCTGCAGCAGGAGACTTGAACAGCACATTTGTATGGCTGCTACACACACATTAAGCAGAAATGTGAGCACATAATATGTACATAGCTCTATTCTAAGCATTAGAGATGCAAAGATGAATAATACACATTGCCAGCTAGCGAGGCATTCAAAATCTAGTGGCCAATAACTGTTATCTCACCTGCTCTGCAACTGAAGCAAGCACTCCATGTACCAGCTGGAGCTTGGATGCCACACAAGCTCTTTCCTAAAACCCTATATTTAACTGACTTTTTACAATGTTCATTCTTCCATTAAAAGGCAGCATGAAAAGGAAACTCTGTCTTTCCCACCCTTAGTTTTGGCAGGGGCTCTTCAAAGGTCACTGCTGCCCAGAAAGCTTAGCTATCTTTGTTCTTTCCATTGAGATCTTTTCAGCCCCAGTTCCCTCTCTGAGACAATTTAGCACAATGCGCTGGGTGACAGCTTTCCTGACATGCAAACAAGGGAGAATATTGAAATAAAGAGAAAGGGGAGGAAACCATTGTAACTGGAAAGGTCCTATTAAAAAGCATGTATCCAGTCTACATCCAGTTAAATCTCTCTTGGCACACAGTACAGGACTATTTTTTAATGATTACTCAAGCCCAAAGGAAATAGGGAGTCTTGTTTTAGAAATGGACAAAATTGAAAATTGTGCAGAATGATCAGGAGAAAAGCAATAAATTGTGATCCACGTTTGAAACTGTTCACAGACTCATTGGTTTTTAGAGGTGACAGGTATTTTGGAGATCATATAGTCCAACACAGGTCACAAAAGGGGAAATGACCTGCTTGTGGTCACATGCTATGGCAGAGCCAGGGATTGAATGTAGACATCCTGATGCCAATGTTCTTTCCAATTTGGGGATCTTAACCCAGCATCCAGGATCAGGTCCATGACTGAGCTTCATGGGAGATCACAAGTCCCCTAAAATGCACAGTGAAATAGTACATGTGTGTAGACTATAGGGGAGGTGCCCATAGTTTTATCAGATTTTCAGGGAGGAACCATGCACCTAGTGGTTTACATGAGGATGGCTGAAGAACTGTGAGGTGGGAGGGGGCTGGCAGTGATTAAGACATACACATGTGACAGCTACAATTGCTTTTTAGTAGTAACTGGAAGATGCTGGGGTAAAAGACAAGCAAGACCAAGGTTCCAAGGAATATTTAAATGCTTGCCCCATGATGTTGAACAATAACAAAAAAGAATAATTCTGGTTTGGGTCCTTAGGAGATAAAATACAAATGTCGAAGTGCGATGAGAGATACAGATGAATCTATCTACCATACAATGAAATCATTAAAACAACACATTAGGGGAACCTGGGTAGCTCAGTCCATTAGGCAGCAGGCTCTCAATTTCAGTTCATATCATGATCTCAAGGTCCTAGGATCCAGCCCCTTGCGTCCCCCACATAGGGCTCTGAGCTCAGCAGGGAGTCTGCCTGAGATTCTCTCTCCCTCTGCCCTGCCCCTTCCCATGCACATGCTCTAATAAATAAATAAATCATTAAAAAAAACAACACCTGAAATTAAAATAAAAAAAACTTTATGTCATAGGGATGCCTGGGTGGCTCAGTGGTTGAGCGTCTACCTTCGGCTCATGGTGTGATCTGGGAGTCCTGGGATAAAGTCCTGCATCGGGCTTCCTGCCGGGAGTCTGCTTCTCCCTCTGCCTGTGTCTCTGCCACTCTCTGTGTCTCTCATGAATAAATTAAATCTTTAAAAAATTGTCATAAAAATAAATACAATTTTGTGGTGAGGGAGCACGGATAAATAGCTAATGCAAACTGATAGATGAATGGGAAGGTTCTCCGTGATCAAATAAGATAGCGAGAATAGGCTGGCCCTGCTTAATTCACATTATTATGAAGACAGGGAAGCTGGTTAACAATATTCCATCTGACATTTCTTGTTTCCAACTTGGGGAAACAGGATGGCCCAGTGCATAGACTCATTGGAAGGGAGGAATTGCAAAATGACAGTGACTTTGGGCGAGGACTATAGGAGGTTGAAAAATGCCCCCTGCTAAGATGTCCATGCCCTAATCCTTAAAACCTGTGAAGGTTACCTTAGGTGGCAAAAACTTGGCAGATGTGATTAAGGATTCTGAGATGGGGTGATTATCCTGGAGTATCCGGGTAGGGACTAACTGCAATCCCAGGGGTCCTTACGAAGGGGAACTGATAAAGCACAGAAGAGGAGAGGACAGTGTGAACATGAGGCAAAGATCAAAGTGATGCAGTCACCAGTCAAGGAATACTGGCAGCCTCCAGAAGCTGGGAGAGGCAAGGACACAAATTTTCCCCTAGAGCTTCTGGAGGGGGCACAGACCTGTTAACACCTTGATTTTGGCCCAGTGATACTGACTGTGGACTTCTGGCCTCCAGAACTGTGAGAGAATCAATTTCTGTTGTGGTTAGCCCCCAAATTTGCAATAATTTGTTAGAGTAGCTGCAGGAAACTACTACAGAATCTAATCCAATATTCCAAAAATTGGAAATATTCAGACTACCAATTTAACTCCACAGTCACTTGTAGACAAAGAAGCTGTCTGTGATTCCGAGGAAAAAGGAACAACAACTAAACAGAAAATACCACACAAGTTTCATTTGTTCAACCTGGTGGAGTAGCCGGGCAGCACTTCCAAGCATGTCAACATACTGTGATATAAAGAGAGAGCAGTAATTCAAAAACTACACATTTAAGGAGCGCAGGGCAGAAGCTCCAGACCAAGGAAAGAGACTTGATCAGTCAATCATGCCAGTGTTAGAGATTGTCAGCTGTCAAATATTAGAAAGGGACCACAGGCCATGTGTTAAAAGGGACAAAGGAAATGGAATGTGATGAATACCTAGCATCTGCAGTTCTCCAAGGGTTTCCAAATGCATAATAACAGCAACTACTCACTGAGTAGTACTATGTGCTGTGAGGCTTACACTCGTTTTCTCATTTAATCCACACAAAACTATCAAGGTAAGTTTCTAATAGACATTTTTTAAAAAAGTGAACAAGTTAAGGCACCTGGCTGACTCAGCCATCAGGGTGTGCAACTTGTGATCTCAGGATTGTCAGTTTGAGTCTGATGTTGGGTGGAAAGATTATTTAGCAACAAAATCTTAAAAAAAAAAAAGTAAACAAGTTATGGCACAGGCCACAGTGGTAGACCCAGGATTTAGAACCAATGTTTGTTTCAAAGCTGACCCTTTTTCTATTGCCCTATCCTGCCTTATTGCACCATTAATCCTCACACATACTTGTGAAGGGACTGTGAGCTCCATGTAGATGGGGACTGAATGTCTTGTTCGCCATAGTATCTGGTGATCAATAAATATTTGTCGAATGAATGAAGCAGGTGGGGCCTAGAGAGATTAAGCAGTTTATTCAAAATCACACAGCCACTGTTTGACAGGATGAGGTTCTCTGATTGCAAACCCTATGCACCACAAGCTGATTAAGATCCTACAGCATACTGAGTTATGTGTGTATCTTACGTGGAGCTTGGTGTGTGTGTGTGTGTGGGGGGAGATATAGGACAAACAGGTGAAATAGCAGAAGAGTTTTCTTTTTGTGTTTTTAAATAAATGCTGAGGTCCTACATGGGTACAGGTAAACCTAAAGGTGGAAAAGGTGAATTTAGAGCAGTCAGAAGGAAGGTAAAGAATGTGAATTGAAGATGACACAGTAAAGCATTGCTGTATCAGATAAAGGTCTAGGCAAAGATCAAAGTAAATTATATTCTGGGGGAATAGAGCCAGCCCCCAAATACCATGTCATCAGTCACAAGGATATGTGGGCACATGCCAATGGTAGTTTTGCCTATTAATCGAAGCAGAATAAGTGATTCCATGTGGTGAAGGACTTCTGAGCCAAATCGGCAGAGATTCTGCTTGCCTGAAGCTGAACTATCTGCCAAACTCTCCCAAAGTACTGGCTGGACATCCACACTGGAAATGAGAAACTCAGGAATAATGAGGAGTGTGGTGGGAGCTAGGGAGGTTGGAGGAAGGAATTGTCACAGAGTCTGGAGCCAGGGTGATTGCTCTTTGTCAGTAAAATCCCCTTGCTCCTTCATCCTGTCTAAGGAAATGAAAAAGTTTTTACAGGACACTCAGTTTGGATGCCAAACCAGAGGCTCTCTAGGTAACACAGACAAGAAAAAGGGTACACTCTTATATAATTCTAATAAACACCTGTAAGTTTCCAAGAGGAAGGGTTCAGACTTAAGGAACTGCTCCTATGCTCAAAGGCAAAGACCTTCCATTGATCTCAATTTTAAAAAGACTGGAAGCAGCAGGACAATAGCTGATGACAGTTCCATCACAAAACCTTGTTAAATCTAGGAATTAAATGAGACAAGTAATTATATTTCCCCATGATGAATTTCAGAACACACATTTCTGAATGTGCGTTTACATTCCCAGCACTTAGCAGATTGCCAGCCCCATGGCAGGAGTTCAAAATGTTGAAGAACAAAAGGAATCTGATGGTAAACGTATCGTTGGGCACATATAACACGTGGAGCTAAAAATCTGTTTTCCTTGGAATCTTTGCGTTTACACTGTCTGGGTCTAAGAATGAGAGAAAATGAGAATGAGACATGTTCTTTCCAAGGAAATATGAACCAATAAATTTGAGGTAGTATTCATCATTTTTTAAGGTACCTATTATGTGCTAGGTGCAATATCTCATTTAATCCCCCTCAAAACCCTTGGGGAAACTGAAGCATGGTGAAGTTAAGTCACTTCCCCAAAAACACAGCAGGCAAGTGACAGAGATTTAATTTGGGATTCAATCCATGCTTGTCTGACTCCAAAACCCACATATGCTCTTTTCATTACACTTTCACAGGAAGAAAAAAAAAAGTCACTACTGTCCATAGAGAAAGCCCTACAACCTTTCTCTGTATTATTGTCCAACTAGAAGGTTAGAGATGTAGTCACTTCCAGGTCAGGCAAGATTTAACCAGGCAGAAAGAAGTGATGTCTCAGGAATTCCAGACCTAAATTCTGTATCCCACACCCCTGACTATATTGTGTCTTGTTACACTATAAATCTGGAGCTCAAACTCAGGAAATTCTACACTGATTAAACAAAAACAACAAAGAAAATCCTCACATTCCCCTTCTCAGAAACCCCAGAAATTAGGCATGTGTAAGAAGAAGATTTTTAATGGAAATAGGTTTCTGCCTGGCTCATTTCCACAGAATTTAACATTGAGAGAGCCAAGGCCTCAGATTTATCCTCAGTTCCTGGGCAAGGGCCAAGAAAACAGAGCCAGACAGACAGACAGAGACCAGAGTTGTGAGGCTCCATACTAAGAGTCACCAAAGTGAGGTACTAAGTCACAGGAAGCTGGTTTGGGCTCAATAGTATAGTTCCACCTTTAAAAGCACAATTATAAGTGATTTGTGAAGGCACCACCTAATACCCCAGCATGTCTGAAGTTGCATTGGAAATTTCAGAGTGAGAATAAGTAAGAAAAGAATTCAAAGGTCAAGATTAAGGAGATGGAGGGGCACCTGACTGGCTCAGTTGGTGGAGCATGCGACTCTAGATTCCAGGGTTATAAATTCGAGCCCCACGCTGGGTGTAGAGATCACTTAAAAAAAATTAAACAAAAAAGGTTAAGGAGGTGGAGTAAATTAATGGAGGAGCCCAGGAGTTGTGGAGATCAGAGGAAAGGGTCTGGATGAGAAATATCTTGGGTCTGAGATAAAGGATAGGACCCTACACAATGGGGACTGGTCCTCAAAGGCAAAGGGATGTGAAGGTATTAAGCTACAGGAAGAATTCCATTTCTGAAGGAGAAGAGGTTGGGAAGAAAAGATGGCTGTGTTTGTAAAAAGGAGTCCTTGGAGAATATAGTAGTAACTCAATAAAGGGGAGGAGGTGAGAGGTGTGTATGAGCTGTGCCTCTGTATGTGTGTGCGCGTAGCTCAGAAGGAAACTCCCCAAAAGGAAATGCATGTGCGGGCTCTGCGCCAGGAAAAGCGATCCGGAGGACTATGGGAGCAAGGCTCCTTCCCAGAGGGCGTCCCGTAGGAGGCCAGACCCGCAGACTCACCTCGGCCATAGCCCTGCGTGTGCTTGGCGAAGCTCCTGACCACCGCCTCCACGGCCTCCCGCAGCACGGCTGGGCTGCCGGCGGCGCCGGGGGGCAGCGGCAGCCCAGGGGCCCCCGACAGGAGCAGGGGCGGCGGGGGCGGGGCGGGGGGCGGCGGGGCGGGCGGGGGGCCTGCGGGGGGTGTGGCGGCGGCCGCCGCGGCCCCAGTTACCCCGGGCCGAAGCGCTCGCAGCGTGCCCCGGCCGCCGGCGCCCACTCCCGGCTGCAGCCGCTGCGCTCGCATCGTCTCCATCCCGGCCGCCCGCGGAGCAGCGGCCCGGAGCCTGCCAGCCTGGCGAGCTAACGGTCCCAGCCAACCCCGCCGGCGAGCGCCCGAGGACTGAGGCGGCGCCGCAGCCCAGCCGTCAGTCAAGCGGGGGCGGGGACGAGCCAGGTCCTGTGCCAATCACCAGAGTGGGCGGGAGCTGCCGCGCTCCAGCTCCGCCATAGGCGAACTACTGAGGAGGGCGGAGTTCTGGGCAGCCAATTGCAAAGAGAAGAAGCGGCATTCTTTATAACCGAGCAGCTGAGTTGGGCGCTTCTTTGGGAGTCGAGTGGGGAGCCCTGGAAGACCAGCCAGATCCCTGGGGCGAAGCGTGTGGAGGGCGTGGGGGGAGCGGCGGGGAGACAGCCTGGATGCCAAGCTGAGGAGAACTGTAGGCAGAATGAGAGGATTCTTAGGGGTCATTTGTCCCATGACTTCATTTTATGGATGTGGATGAGGAGACAGATACGTTATGTGACTTGTCCAAGGTCACATGCAATGGGCGGTGGAGCTAAAACAAGGAAAAGAATACATTTAATGAGCATATACTTGCTATATGTCAGACACGACACAATGTACTTTAGTGCATTGTCTTACCGAATAATCACAATGACTAGAGTTTATTATTTTACAGATAAGGAAATAGACACTCAGATAGGCTAGATAAATTAACCAAAATTAAAGCTAGAAGATGGCAAAGAGGGGTTCAGACATAGGTCTTCTGATTCTCAATGTTTTGATCTTTCTGTTATACTATACGTCATTAGGTAATTTTCTGATTTTACCTATTCTAAATTGGGGGAACCTGTGAAGAGTGGAATGGGTTGCTCCCTTACCTCCCATTAGAGTAAGGGAGAATTGGAATATATGCAGAAACCAGAAAACTAAGAAGTCTAGGGGCAGATTAAAACAGTTACCCTTGGGAATCCCTGGGTGGCTCAGCAGTTTAGCGCCTGCCTTTGGCCCAGGGCGCGATTCTGGAGTCCCGGGATGGAGTCCCACGTCAGGCTCCCAGCATGGAGCCTGCTTCTCCATCCTCCTGTGTCTCTGCCCCCCTCTCTATGTCTGTCATAAATAAATCTTTAAAAAAAAAAAACAACCAGTTACCCTTGTTCATAACCTGTCAGGCTGGGTTCCTCTGATTACTCTTACACAGATACACACTACGCATAATTTGTCAGTTGACCATCATGCCATTTTTACCTAGGTGAGGTTATGCTAGTTTTCTCTCTCTCTTTTCTCACTCTGCAGTGACTCAGGTTGGGGAAATAAAAGCCAGAAGTTAAAAAAAAAAAAAAATGACCTGGCTGGCTCAGTCAGAAAATCATGCTACTCTTGATCTGGGGGTTGTGAGTTCAAGCCCCACTTTGTGTGTAGAGATTACATAAATAAATAAAAACTTTTTTAAAAGAGTAGAAAAAATGGGATCCTGGGTGGCGCAGCGGTTTGGCGCCTGCCTTTGGCCCAGGGCGCGATCCTGGAGACCCGGGATCGAATCCGACATCGGGCTTCCGGTCCATGGAGCCTGCTTCTCCCTCTGCCTGTGTCTCTGCCTCTCTGTGTGTGTGTGTGTGTGTGTGACTATCATAAATAAATAAAAGTTTTAAAAAAAGAGTAGAAAAAATGGATGAAATGCACCTGGTGAGATGAAAATTAGAACCCAAAGGAATAACTGGGAAGTCATGAAATAAGAAACTTGAAAGAGGGATGGAATCTACTCGGGTATATCTGTTGATGGTGGAGAGAGGTAATTTTTGTAGGAAGTACTTCTGTAGAAATCTTAAAGAATTTGAGGATGGACATATGGGTCAATGAAATGGACTGGGTCAATGAAATGGACTGGGTCAATGAAAGCCTGTCAAATGCCTTAAAATCTTCAGGACACAGGACACTTGTCTTTTCTTCTGCAACCATAGTTGGTCAGTTGGTCCCCCACAAAGAAGGTGGCTGGAACCTCTAAGTATCCCCTAGATAGTTTTAGCTATAGTTAGCATCACCCTCCCTCCCCATTCCTCACTCCCCACACCCCACACCCTCAGGCAGAAGTGACAAAACACAGACTTCTGAACACATTTATTTGATATGTCAAGTGGAGAGAGGAGTGATTTAAGATTACTCCCCACTTCTACCTGTGGGGGTGTTCATAAGCTCAGACAGATAGAAGAGCAGCATAGAGCCCATGACCCATCCCTGGGAAAATGAGACAACCTGCTGTATTGTTTGGGGGAATGAGGTGGGATTAAAAAGCAGGAAGTTGAGAAGTAAAGCTGAGAGCAGAAAAGACAGCAGCAGAACTGAGGCTGGGAGTTGCTGCAGGAAAATCCCAAAGAGAGTGAAGAAGATATTCTGAAAAGTGGTTAGGGCTGGAAGCAGGGTGTGAACAAGGAGCCAGGCCTGGAGAGAGAAGCAAGACCTACACAACAGGATGGGATATCCAGGAAGAGGGTAGAGTGTGCAAAGTCATGAACGGGCTGTGTTGCAGGGCATACATGGAAAGTAGGGGATTGCTTCTGCAAGAGGGCAAAGAGATTGGAGACTATCCATAGGTAGGGGTTCCCTACTGCTTCTGAACAAGTGCAAGTGACTTTGGGACCCAGTAGGGGCCCTAGCACAAGTGGCCCTGTGTGTGCCATCCCTATGAATGGGTACACAAGTATCCCATATGCATGTGAAGTGACCAGGACATGAATGCACGTGTCTATACGCCCAGTAAAGAGAGTACTTACCCTTCCCTGCGAATAAGAGTACTGTGCTTGTGGACACTTTTTTTTACCCATGTGTGCGTGCACCATGCCCAGGAGCACATGCAAGAGACCCCTATGTCCGTGGTGTGTGTGTGTGTGTGTGTGTGTGTGTGTGTGTGTGAGCTGGTTCTGCCTTCTGCCACCTGTCCCATCAAGGCCCAGATCCCCACCCTCCTCGGCTCCTCTCACTCCTCTCAGCGCCCTGGCTCCCCCGGCCCGCCTAGACTCTGGAAGCCCCCTAGCAGGCGGATCTGCTCAGTCTGCATGGAGTGGCGCCTCACCAACTTGCGCTTGGTCCTAGGAGAGCCTGGCGCCCCTGCATGGGGAGGGGCGGGTAGAGAAGGCGCCCGACCTCCGGGTTGGGGGCGAATGTCGGGGATGGGAGGGTGGGGGCTGACGTTGAGCGGGGGCAGGAAACCAGGCCGCGTTTGCGCAATGTGGTCCAGGAGCAACGTCCCCGAGCCCCTCCGCTCCAGCAGCCCGGGACTCCGCCTCCGTCCGCTGAGCGGAGACACAGCCCCGGGCAGACTCTCCTGGGACTGACGCGGGGAGGGAGCCGAGCCCGCTGGAGGGAGGGTCAGCGGGGAGGCGCTGTAGCGGCGGCGCTCCAGGGCCACGCGACTGCACTCCGGCGAGTCGGGGCACATATTCCCGGGGGTGTCGAGCTCCACCGGCTCCATGCGGCTCAGTTTCTGCCTCAGCCCTGAAGGGGGACCAGACTCCTGAGCTTCTGGCGCAGTGTTTCGGCGGGACAGAGGACCCCCACCCGTCACTTTCTCCGCCCATGGGGGCGGGTCCTCCGGGCCCTCAGTGCTGTGACGTCTGGACAGACGGGGTCGACCGGTCAGAGTCAGGCCGTTGAATTCCGCGGTCAGGCGCTCGATCCCCGGCCTCCCTTCAGCGGGCGGGACCGGTTGAGGAGGGGCCACTAGGCCCCAGGGCTCCGAGTTGAGCCTTTTGAGCGGTTTTGGAGGGTGACGGGGCGGTTTGGGTAGCGGCTCAGAAGGGGAGGAGTCATCAGGGGGCTTAGGAAGAGGGAATTCGAACACGTCCCGCTTCTCCTCTTCTTCCTGAGCGCGAGGGGACAGCAACCCTCGTCCTCCTCCTCCTCCTCCCCCTGCTCCTCCTCCTCCTCCTCCTCCTCCTCCTCCTCCTCCTCTTGCAGTCTGCAGTTGTATTTCGGAAGGCGACGTGCAGACCCCGGGGCTAGGAGGAGCGGGAGCGGGGTCCTCCACCCCCGGGGACGGTGGGGAATTGAGATACTGCCGTGTCTTCTTGGTCCCGGAGGGTGAGGTGTCGGTGGTGATGATGATGACCTCCGTGCCCTTGGCCTTACAGGCGTCCAGCAGCGTGGCGAGGGTCTCGCGGTCTCCGCGGTCCAGGGCGTGGACGAGCGCGGAGGCGCCCGCGTGATCGCGCACCGAGGGGTCCGCACCGTGGGCGAGGAGCAGCGAGGCCACGGCGGCGCCCCCACCCCCGGCGCAGGCGTGCATCAGCGCTGTGCGCCCCAGGCGGTCTGCGATGTTGGGGTCCGCGCCTTGCTCCAGGAGGTAGCGTACCATGCGCGCCTTGTTTTGGGGGTCGTCGTAACGGGCCCGACAGGCCGCCATTAGCGCAGTCTCCCCCTGGGCATCACCCTCATTCACGTAGGCGCCTCCCTCCAGAAGCAAACGGGCCAAGCGTAGCTTACCCTGACCCACCGCCCGAAGAAGAGCGTGGCCCTCGGTGTGCAGCATAGCTGCGGCAGGGGCGAGAGCACCAATGGAGCCGGGACTGGGGCCCGCCAAGGCTGTCTAGGGGCGTGGGGGTGGTGGCTGGCGGAGGCCTGGGGGCTCAGTGGCGAAGCCAATCCCTGCGAGAAAGAGAGAGAGAGATTATTGACCGAGTCAGGCAGGGAAACTGAGGCACCAGTGGACGGATACGGCGTGGGGTGATCTCTACGGCACCAGCACACAGCCCTTCCTTTATCTCATGCCTTTGAGCCTCCCCCTCCCCCCAGCGCATGCCTAAGGAGGTGGGAAGGGTGCACCCGCAATGAAGGACGAGCGCGCGTGCAAATACGTACGTGCACGCGCAGGGATACCGCACCCCCACCCTCACCCCACGGCTTATCAGACCTTTCCAGCATCCCCCTTTTCTTACCCGCACTTGGAATACCCCTTCCTAGGATGCTGAACGCCACCCACCCACACACATGCACCCATACATTCACACACATAATTCCCAGTCCTAACCTCTTTTAGGTTGCCACAGCCCCAAAAATTGAGTGGGGGGAGGGAAGCAGCTTGCATTTGGGACCTAAAACGGGTGGGGGGGGAGAATTGGGGGTGTCTTTTGCCCCTGCTAGATTCCCCATCACTCCTTGCTCTTTCCCTCCCAGGCTATGCGCCCAAATAGGTACCTGAATGTCCGCAGCATCTCCGCCGGGCCAGGACTGAGGCCAGGGCCATGGGGCAGCCTGGGTGGCGGAGCTGGGTTCCCGGGGGCGCACATGGCGTGGGGAGGGGCACCCGGATTCCCTTGGTGTCAGTATCTGCGCCCGGGCACCGGATCCTGGTCCCTCCTCCTGGTGCGCCCCGGGCACGGCGCCGGCTCCGGAGGAGAGAAACTGGGGGGGGGCGGGGGGGCGGAGCTCTGCTTTGCTATTTATAGCCTAGTCTCTGCGGGTGGGGGCGTCGGGCACCAAACCGTTCCCCCACCCATGCAGACATAAAGCCTGAAAACCTAGAGGCTCCAATCCTGACTTCTCTTGCTTAGCCGACCTCCCCTCATCCCCAACAAACCTAAATGTTTTTTGAGACTCCTCCGCGACCCAGACTGGGACCATCCCAATTCTTCGTTGAGCAGAGCCCCATTCTCCGCGCTGGCTGTGTTTAAGCGCGCCTGTGCGCCAGATCTGACCTGCCACACACAGCACATGGCACACTGTGCAGAGGTGGAGAGAGGCGATTGGGATCCCCAGCCAGGTCCATACTGCGCAGAGAGAAGCAAGAGATCTGGCTGCCTCCTTGCAGTTTACATGTCAGGGAGAGCTGGAGCCAGACACAGCGCGGTACATTCTCACTCTATCTCCCCCCAAACGGAGCACAGCACAGATACACTTGGACCTCAGATCTCTTGTACAGACTTCAGATACGTATGAGGAGAGTGGATATATGAGGTCATTTTAAGGTATACCATGCGGCATTCCCAGATGCTTTCCTCCCCATATTCTTGGAGGGGAAGAGGGAAAAGGAAAAGGGGGCAGAATCTTGTAACACATCCCTTTCTCATTGCATCTCTTTACATTCAATCTTGCTTAGACTCATTATTTTTCCATGTTGCTTGAAGGTCCTTGTCCAATCACTCCTTAAGTCTTCTCTGCCTATTTGTGGCAATCCTAATTGGTCTCTTCTGCTGCCTGTCTCTGCCTCTCCTAGCCACCTGCCCTGTCTCCATGGTTACCATAGCTTCCATCTGCATATTTTAGGAAGGAGTTTGTGTCCAGCTGGAATGCATGAGGGGAAGTGGAGAATGAGGAAAAACATCCCAAGGATTTGGAAAACTCACCTGAGATAATTGAGACCAGAAGATACTAAAGATACTAAAGACACAAGATACTAAAAATAATGTTCCTGGAGAAGGAGAGGGAGAAATATTGCAGGGAAGCTACCCATTTTTACTAGCTACCATTTACTAGACAGCAACTGTACGCCAAGTACCTCACATACCTTATTTCCAATCTTCACAATGTTGTAAGGTAGGAATCTCCTTGTTATAGGTGAAGAAGCTGAGGCTTAGTAAGGTTAAGCAAGTTCTCCAAAGCTTCATAGCTCTGTTTCTGTCCTATTCAAAGACTGGGCACTTGCCACTACACCTACAGCCTTCCAAGTCCAGAGGCTTCACTCCCAGCAACATTTTCTCTGACGTCTGGGATTATTTTCTTGACTAACTCCTACATTTTTATCACCACTCTGAATTATTATTGCTCTCTGTTTCTGGAGTTGTTTTGTGGGGGTTTGTTATGTGTGGGTGTGAAAGTAGGATCCCCATCCACACTTGCCACCGTGCCCCCTTCACCAAGGGCTAGGAGGAGCTGGAAGGAAATAGAAAATGAGGGAAACACTGGGCTTTGTCCTGCTTCCCCAACTCTGGTTCTCTGATTCCTAATCCTTCCTTCCCCAAACTTTCCTCCCATCTTCTCGCAGACATGACAGCAACGCACAGGGAAAAAATAAAATTAGAAAAGAAGTATTCATTTGTGGCGCTAGAGGGAAGCAATGTAGGATTAGTAGGGAAGGTCGGAGTCACGGAGGAGAGGCCAGGCTGTGAAACCCATGTCACAAAAAGGCTGATCCCTAAAGAACCAACAGATCATTTATCTGGGAGCTTCTTCAACAGAGTTCCTCGGTGAGATCTAAGCGTCAGGTTCCCTCTGTGGACTCTCGCTAGCCAGCAGTTACCCCATTTGAGATGAGTTCGGAAATAGCCGACTCCTCGTTGACTTTGCAACCCCATCTGCCATCACGCTGCGCGGGGCTTCCCAAGCCTGGGTTCAGGCTGCCTCTCCCCCTCCCTGCTTCTCTTCGGCTTCAAGTGGGCGGATCTCCCTCCTCGTCTTCTCCTAGATTGGCCGGGGGGACGCACCAATGGGGAGCTCTGAGAGGCGGACCTACAGCGCCACCAGCTAGAGGAAGACCAGCAAATTTCAAGTTGGCTGCGACGTGGGCTCCGCGTGGGGGAGGGGCAGCAGGTAAGGCTTGGTCCTGGGGGCTCTGACCTGGTCCAGTCCCACACCTCCCGAACTAGTTCACCAGGGCCAAGCTGCGAGATAGACAACGCTTTCCGGGAGGCTGTTGGATCCAGCCCCCTCTGGTTTCCTACTCTTCTTCCCTTTCCCTTAAGGGCTCCTATTGCTGTACCGATTATATACCAGAGAACTGCAGTTTTCTTTCATGCATACAGGAGAGATATTAAAGCACAAAGTGTGGAAGGCTCACCTTGTATTCCTGACTCTTTGCTTCCCCTGAATCTATTAATAATATTTCCTTGTCTAAGAGTCTGACGAACTCCTGTTACCTATCAAGACTCAGCTGAAATATTACCTCCTACCTGTAGCTTTCCTTGACTGCCTTTTTTCTTCTTTTCCTCCTCCTCCTCTTCTTCTTCTCCTTCTCCCCCCCCCCCCAATAGCCGTTCCCCAGTCTGACGATAGTATTTACGCATACCTCCATTAGAGCACTTAGTGAGCTCTAATGTTTCTGTTCTGAGACTATAAGATTTTGCAGGCAGGTTCTTGTACTTAATAGGAAGTGCCCAATAAAGGTTAATTGAATGGAATTGGTTGGGAAGGCAGAATTTAAACACCTAACGTAATTGGAGAACAATTAATAAAAGACAATTAAAATGCAATACAGTAATCTAATTAAGATCTCTTAAATTAGTGGTTTGTGATATAATAGCACCCATAGGCCAGAAAAGGGAGAAAGCTAGGAGGACTGGGATGGTAAGGGGAGACTTGATAAATCACAAGGTCTCAAGTGTGGAAGAGCTCTCAGAAATCATGTATTCATTCATTCATTCATTCATTCAACAAATATTTATTGAGCACCTACTGTAACCCAGACACAGCTAGACAGTGGGGATCATAGTGAATCCTCGACTTTAAACATGCATCCTTACTCTGATAAACTATAGTTAGTAAATTGTTACCTCATTTCTATATTAAAAAGGACTTCCTACCTCAATTTGCAGGTCATTCCATTTTTGATATTTGTTCTTCAATTAATGTCCAAAAATATTCTAAACAAATATGTACTCAACGAAATGCATTCCTTACTTTCATTGTAAAAGAGGGAGAGCTGTCCCAGTGGTAGCATTCTTAAAAATAAAGAAAACTATCCCTTTTGGTTTCTGATTAAAGAACTAATATGTATTTATTCTAGAAAATTTGGAAACATATAAAGTTATAAATAAAAATGCCAATTCTAGAAAATTTGGAAACACATAGTGTATAAATAAAAATGCCTATTGTTTCATGACCATGATCTAGTGATAATCATTATTATTTTTTAAAGATTTTATTTATTTATTCATGATAGACACACAGAGAGAGGCAGAGACATAGGCAGAGGGAGAAGCAGACTCCATGCAGGGACCCCGACGTGGGACTTGATCCCAGGACTCCAGGATCACGCCATGGGCAGAAAGCGGGCGCTAAACTGCTGAGCCACCCGGGGATCCCTGATAACTATTATTATTACTTTAATATTTATCCTTTCGATTTCTTTTCTGTATACATATGTGTGTGTGTATATATATATTACATAAGTCAGGCTATACAACAAATACAATTTTATATCATGTTTCCCTCCACTTTATATCGTGAACATTTTTTTGCCTTTAAATATTATTTGAAAAAAATATTATTTGAAGTCATTTTTCTTTCTATATAATAGTCTAAAATGGATATTTGATTTTTTTTTTTTTACCATTCATTTTTCGTTGGCCCATTTAGGTTATTTCAGAAGTTTTGCTACCATGGATAGCTCTATGATAACCATCCTTATATATCTGATTATATATATGATGATTTCTTTAGGATGGATTATTTTTTTTAATTTATTTATTTATGATAGTCACAGAGAGAGAGAGAGAGAGAGGCAGAGACACAGGCAGAGGGAGAAGCAGGCTCCATGCACCGGGAGCCCGATATGGGATTCGATCCCGGGTCTCCAGGATCCCGCCCTGAGCCAAAGGCAGGCGCCAAACCGCTGCGCCACCCAGGGATCCCTAGGATGGATTATTTTTAAAGTGGGACTATTGGATTAAGGATATGAACATTTAAAAGGCTGTTGATTCAAATGGCCAAATAGCTCCCCTGAAAGATTGTGTATAAACACAATCCTTCCAATGAGGTATGAGAGTGTCCATCTCAAAAAAACCTGGCAGCCTGATTATTTTTTAAGTCTTTGTCAATTTGGTAGGTGAAGGGCAGCCCGGGTGGCTCAGCGGTTTGGCGCTGCCTTCAGCCCAGGGTTTGATCCTGGAGACCAAGGATGGAGTCCCACATCAGGCTCCTTGCATGGGGCCTGCTTCTCCCTCTGCCTGTGTCTCTGCCTCTCTCTCTGTCTCTCATGAATAAATAAATAAAATCTTTAAAAAAATTTTTGGTAGGTGAAGAGCAGTTTTATTAATTACTTTTGTCAATTGCCTATTAGTGTCCTTTGCACATTTATTCCATTGGTATGATTTTTTTCATTTGGATTTCCATGAGTTCTCATATAATGAGTATTAACTCCTTGTCTTATTTATCACAAATAGAGCAAATCCTAAATATTAGAGTGCTCTAGGCCTCAGCTTCTGGATCTCTTCTTTCCTCTGTTCACATCTACCCTGTTAGGCATTCCACCTAGTCTCAGGCCTTGAAATATTTGTATATTGATAACTCCACCAGAATGTAAGCTCCATCTTACATGGGCAAAGCAGTTTTTGTTTTGCTCACTGCTATATCCCTAGCTCTTGGAACAGTGTCTGACATATAACAAGCACCCAGTAAATATTTGTTGAATGAGTTAAGATGTTTTTATTATTATTCCCATTTACAGATGAAGAAACAGATTTAGAGATATTAAATAAATTGCTGGAGGTTGTATAGCTAGGAAATGACAGAATTCAAATTCATGTTCTTTTTTTTTTTTTTTTAAAGATTTATTTATTTATTTATGCAGAGAGAGCGAGAGAGAGGCAGAGACACAGGCAGAGGGAGAAGCAGGCTCCATGCAGGGAGCCTGACGTGGGACTCGATCAGGGACCTCCAGGATCACACCCCGGGCTTCAGGCGGCGCCAAACCGCTGAGCCACCGGGGCTGCCCCAAATTCATGTTCTTAACCACTACATATACTGTCTTTGTATGTTTTGTTGAAGCCTGCTTCTTAGTAATTTCTACCATAATATAGCACAGTCAGTATCATATATATGAGATGTTATGTGGGGAAAAGGCAGTATAAGGGTGAGCTCTAGGGAGGGTTGATGATAAGGAAAAGCTGTTTGGGACCAGATTATAGAAGACCCTAAATATCTCAAGAATTTAGACTCAATCACAATCTTTAATAGAAGAGACACACCGTAGATTCCTGACCCAAGTGAAGTAGAGATGGATGGTTTACAGTTTTCCAACCACCAGTTTATTGTCTCAATTAAATAAAATTTTGTCTTCCTTTTACCCCATGTCCTTGGGTTAGTATCTAGAAGTGGAGCCTTTTCTTGACTCCTTATTGCACCACAATCAAACCAGTTATCATCCCCACTGCTAGACCTGGGTTTGTCAGGTGAAAAGATACCTGAACCAGTTGGTTAGAGTGTCTTTTCCTTTGAAAGGGCCTAAAGACATGCTCATAAATTCTTTCTCCTTCTCTAGTGTTGGTGAAACATCCTTTCTCCCCTAATATGTTCTTTCAATCAGATCACAGTTTAATCTATTAACTAATAGCCATTTTTCCTTACATTTTTTGTTGGACCTAAAACTTTGCAAATTCTTCAGACACACATTTTTCCACTCCCTCCTTCTTCTGATATATATTAATCTCATCTGCTGTTCTGTTGCTATATTTTTAATTATTATTTTTTTCTTATTACAAAAGCAATACCTATTCAGTATAGAAAACAAACTTTAAAATACACAGAACCCCCCAAAAATGCAAAACCCTATGACCTCAAATTAACCAACATTAATTTTCAGTGTGTATCCTTTAAGAACAACTTTTTTTCATCATAAGTGTGTATGTATGTGTTTGACAAAATGGATGATCTTATACATATTTCTAAATCTTTTTTTTTCATGAACCAGGGCATTTTGTTGAGCCATATATTTCTTGTTTAGAGTATTTGCTGGATATTAATTGAAGAACAAATATCCAAAAATGGAATAATATGCAAAGTGAGCTAGAGAGCCCTCTTACTAAAGATGTTTAAATTTTTTTTTTTGTGATAGTCACAGAGAGAGAAAGAGAGAGAGAGAGAGAGGCAGAGACACAGACTGAGGGAGAAGCAGGCTCCATGCACCGGGAGCCCGACATGGGACTCGATCCCAGGTCTCCAGGATCACGCCCTGGGCCAAAGGCAGGCGCTAAACCGCTGCGCCACCCAGGGATCCCAAGACGTTTAAATAGAAACTGGAAAACAACTTACTAAATATGGTTTATCAGAGGAAGGATACATGTCTAGAGTAGAGGATTCACTATGATCTCCATTGTCTAGCATTATGTCTGGCATATAGTAAATGTTCAATAATTATTTGTTGAATGAATGATTACATGATTTCTGAAGCTCTTCCAAACTTGAGACCTTGTAATTCATCAAGCCTCCTCTCACCATCCCAGTCTTCCTAGCTTTCTCCCTTCTCTCATCATATTAAGGGTATGTACCCTTACTAGCAATATAATTTAATATTGTTGATTTTGACCTTGGTCACCTAACTAAAGTAGTGTTTGTCTAGTTTCTCCACTGTAGAGTTAGTTACTCCCCCCTTTCCAAAGCTGAATTAGACAAAATTCCCTATGTATAGCCTACACTTAAAGAGTGAAAAGTTGGGATACCTGGGTAGCCCACCAGTTGGACATCTGCCTTCGACCCAGGGCATGATTCTGGATGGAGCCTACTTCTTCCTCTGCCTGCATGGAGCCTGCTTCTCCCTCTGCCTGTGTCTCAGCCTCTTTCTCTCTCTCTCTCTCTGTCTCTCATGAATAAATAAATAAAATTTTAAAAGGAATAAAAAATAAAAAAAATAAAGATTGGAAAGTTATACTCGTTATACTCCTTCTTTTCAAGGTGGAGTCTACATAATTTATTTGGAATCCTGAACGAGAGGTTTGTCTTTTCTCCCCCATAACTTATTTAATTGTTTATTTATATCAGTATGGACTTGTGGATATTTATATTATAACTTTAGGATTATAATCTAATACTACTTTATTTTATTTCATTGTCAAATTCTTCCAGCTTTGGCCATTGGGAGGTCTTTCAGTTGACTTTTGTGCCCCTTTGACATAGCCCCACCAATGTATGCGTGTTGTGGTTTTGAGTACTTCTTTGCTTTCTAGTACCAGAATATGCTTCAGGCTCACCTTATATGTTTCCTTCCCAACCCTAGAATCAGCCATTCCTCCAAGAAGCCCTGGTTCCTTTTGTTGGAAAATGGTATTAGAGACCAAGATGTGGGTGCTAGGTGTGCTCTTTGTCACTGGAATATCATTTCTTAGAAGTTTCATTTTCATTTGGTAACTTTACCCTCCATCCTATCTGCTTCTGACTGGCCCCTCAAGGTTGGTGACAAGAAGCAGAGTTCAGTCTAGTAGTAGAAGAAACTTGCAGTTCATCAGAGTTGGTCACTATGGGATGGGCGGCCTTGGGAAGAATGAACACCCTCTCAACAGAAGAATGCCACTGGAATTTGAATGACTAAGAACGTACAGAGTGGAGTACTGCATTGGGAAGGGGTTTAGACTACATACTTCTATCGGTCCCTCCAATTCTAAGATTCTGTGCTTCTCAGTGGTATTTCAAATAATAATAAGTTGATTGTAATGATTCTCTTCACCCCTACTTCCCACCACTGACAGTGAGACTGATGACTGACCTCTCCCTGTGCCCCCACAGTGCCTGGCACACTACCTTTTGCATAGTAGATGCTTAATAAATGTTTTGCTAAATTCACTGCATTAGCTTGAATTGGGGCCCAATTGGGTGTAGAAAGCCAGGGAGAGAAAAAGTTCAAAGATTATAGAGAGATATGCAGATGGTGACAAATATCAAATTATCTTGGGGATGGAAGGAAATTTTGTCCGAGGGTCTAATCACTTTCACCTTAAAAAAAAAAAGATTTATTTATTGGAGAAAGAAAGAAAGAGTGGGGCGGGGGTGGGGGGTAGAGAGAGAGAGAGAGAATCCAAGCAGACTCTGCACTGAGTGTAGAGCCAGTGCAGGGCTCTATGACCCAGAGATCATGACCCTGAGATCGTGACCCGAGCCAGAATCAAGGAGTCTTAACCAATTGAGCCACTCAGGCATCCCTACTTTTCTTTCTGTTCTACAGTTACACTATATTGCAAATATCTGTCCTGTTGGGACCATATCTCATCCATATCTGTATTTCCATAAATACCCTCCTTAGTACAATGCCTTCCCCACCAAAATTTGTTGAATTATACTGGCTTTTTGGATCTTAAGGAGAAAAAATTGAGTATCTTGTACCTCCCTGGCTTCCTATCATTCTACTATACTTTTTGTTTTTGTCTTTATCAGGTTTTTCTCACTGGATCACTGAATACCCAGGCCCCCTCCACCATGGCCAGTCGGGGTGGGGGCCGGGGTCGTGGCCGGGGCCAGCTGACCTTCAACATGGAAGCTGTGGGCATTGGGAAGGGCGATGCTCTGCCTCCACCCACCCTGCAGCCTTCTCCACTCTTCCCTGTGAGTGTCTCCCCCACTTGTGTACCCCTGGCTGACTGTATATGATCCTGGATTCCTCGTGGGCCACTGTAAAACTCATCTTGCCTCTTCCTGTCTCTGTGCTTCCAACCCACATGGGATGTTTTCTAGGCAAAGTAGTTTCTTACACTCCTAGCTCCCCAGCTTTCAAAATGCTGTGTTGTTCTCCCCATTTTTCTTTGGCCCTCTGTTCAGTGGGAGTGTTGGATTGCATTAGGGGGAGAGACCCTTCTAGGTTTGTACTCTAGTGTTTCACCCCTGCCTGAACTGACCACTGCCCCTGTTTCCTTAGCCCTTGGAGTTCCGCCCCGTGCCTCTGACCTCAGGAGAGGAAGGGGAATATGTCCTGGCACTGAAGCAGGAGCTACGAGGGGCCATGAGGCAGCTCCCCTACTTCATCCGGCCAGCTGTCCCCAAGAGAGGTCAGTTGGAATGTTAGCATCATGTTCTGAGTGCCTTTCATGAGCAGTGTCCTAGACACAGCGCCATGGAGGGCCAGAGAGGCCAGAAGAGGCACAGGAAGCTCACTGTCTAACTGGGGAGATGATAACAATTACTCCTGCCTTTGAAAGGTATTATGGTATCCGTGGTTTGTTCTGAGTCTCACAACAGTCTTAGGATAGTAGGAGGCTAAACATCAGGGTGCTCATTTCATAGGTATAAGTGAAATACATCAACATTTTTAACAGTTTGGATGTTACAAGCACCAAATAATAAGAAGGGAGGCTAATGCTGGGTGTCTGAGAAGCCCTCCTAAGGTCAGCAGGATTATGGAGAGGTCAGGGAGACCAGGAGGGACCAGAGAAGGGGAGTCTCTTAGGAGGCTTGGGATAATGGCTATTCACCAACAAGTGTGCAAGTGCAGTGTTTGAGTATATTGACAAATAGTGCTTTCCAGTTGAAGCCTTAGAAGCTGCAGCTCAGGGGTGAAAGGACTTGCCTGGTAGCCCTATTAACAGAGAGAAAGGGAAGACTGAAACCCTGATCTCTTGCTCTTTAGTATATTTTCCCATGTACCAAACTACCTCTCAGTATGGCTGTGCCTTTGGGTTAAGGGAGAGAACAAAAACATTATAATTTGGGGTGGCAAAAGGACAAGGTAGAAGAGTGTTGAAGATCCTCACTGAAGCTGACCACCTGGGCTCTGGGTTTGGGGTGAAGGAACAGACAATGCATGCTGAGTATTGAGAGGGCTGGGCCCTTAAAACAACCCTGTTCTAGGGCTCTGAAAGGATAAAACTTTGACCCTTGGCCTCTAATCCCTCAGATGTGGAGCGTTACTCAGATAAATATCAGATGTCAGGGCCGATTGACAATGCCATTGATTGGAACCCTGGTAAGTGATGGCCCTTTCATTGACTGCCTTTTGGCTGCCAAAAGCCACCAACCCATTCATCTTTCTCTGTCCACCTCCTCCTCCCCCACTCTACTCAGTATTTATAAACTGGAGTCCTAGTTGTACTACAAAACACTCTCAGACTCTACCTGAAGATCTATGAAATAGCCCCTCTTCCCTGGAGGCATCCAAACCACAGTTTTGTTCTCAGTAACTTTGACCCGACCCCTTCCTTCCTCACCATCATCCTGACTCCTACCTTTCTTTAAAACCAATTATTCATAGGAGACCCCAGGCAGGGTCTTTCTGACTTTTATGTCCCCACTGTTCCCAGATTGGCGACGTTTACCTCGGGAGCTAAAGATCCGAGTGCGGAAGCTACAGAAGGAACGTGAGTATATCTGGGAAAAGGAGGCAGAGGATAGATTTCCTTCATCAGCTGGAGGGCAGAGGCTGTCTGTGGTCTTGCCTGCCCTCCCAGTTTCTAACCGGTTCCACCCAGTATTGTAGCTGGATGCCATGGTGGCCACAGGAGGGCAGCAGAGTGACGTTGTCTCTGCAAGAGCTTTCTAATAAGCTCTAATAAGCTAAAAAAGAAGTTTGCTAAAAAAGAAAAAAAGAAATTTGTTCTAATGGTTCACCTTTTGATTCTTTGGCCAGGGACCACCATCCTAATCCCCAAGAGGCCCCCTAAGAACACAGAAGATAAGGAAGAAACAATACAGAAACTGGAGGTAAGGGGGAAGTGTGCATAGAGACCACCTGGACTCCAGTCCCATTCCCTGCCCTTTGGCCCATGTGTGCCTCACTCTTTTCCCTCCTCTGAGCTGCGTCTGAGTTTCTCCTTCTATTCATCTCCATGTAAGACCCTGGAGAAGAAGGAGGAAGAAGTGACTTCAGAGGAAGATGAGGAAAAAGAAGAAGAAGAAGAGAAGGAAGAGGAAGAAGAAGAGGAGTATGATGAAGAAGAACATGAAGAGGTGAAAGGGCTCTCCTTCCACCTTTAGGTCCCCTCTCTTCCTCATAAGCTCTGTGGGTCTCAACTCGGTCCTCCAGGGTTGTTCTCTCTAGAGGGTAGGAGAGCCAAAGGACATGTGCTATAGAGAATAGTGGCCTCCACCTCATGTGTCCCCAGGTTCTTCTAAAGAAGAAACTCTCCAGAAGGGACTTCCCAGGCCTGGGATGGTTTCTTGGGGAGGGGAGGAAGGAGAAGGCCCAAAGCATGCCTGACTTTGATTCCTTTTTGTTCTGTTTCAGGAAACTGATTACATCATGTCGTATTTTGACAATGGAGAGGACTTTGGGGGTGACAGTGATGACAATTTGGATGAGGCTATATACTGAAGAAGGACCCTGAATGATACCCTGGACCTTCGGCTCTTTCTTGATTTAAGATAGAGAGAGTAACTGTGCCTATTATTTGGCTTTGTGGACAGGCAAAGCATTTGCTTAGAGACCAGATAAACTCTTTGGCCCTGGAGACAGAAGTGAAACATGATGACGGATAGCTCTCTTTTCTACTCTTCCTCTCCCTCCACCCTTGTGTCACCTCTCTTAGCTTGGGAAAAGGGCAAAAGACCAATGTCTTAATTGTATGAAAGAAAGAAGAGCCGAAAGAAACGAGTTGTTAGAGCTGAAACAGCTGTATATGTGTCCCCACCCACTTTTTTTCCCCACCCACTTTTTTATAGTGAAAGATCATTGAGGGTGTGTGCAGTTAGGAGGCGTAAGGCCAGTTTTATATTTTTAAATAAAATCTTTTTATCTGTCTCTCTGTCCAGGGTGAGGCCTGGTGGGCGAGGCCTTGAGGGAAACAAAGGTTGCCTAGCTGGGCCATTCTTTCCTTATCCATCAGAGTCCAGTGTGACACACTGGGGATTACAGCTTTCCTGTCCTTTACTCCTGCCCTCCCACTCCCATGTAGGACACTCCCAATCTAGCCCTGCCAGGGAATATTCAGGAACTCATCGCTGAGGCTGTGCAGAGTGAGTAGGAGAGAATAGCTCATGCCCTGAAGACCAGCTGGCTTCTGAGCCCCTGGTCCTCAGGCCATGGGACACAATTGTCTCTTTCCATATGTGGACACGGCCCTCTCTTTCCCACACTTGACCTTGATCTTGTCCTTGTTTACAAGGAAAGATTACAGCTATTTTTGTGAGAGAGTCAAGAAAGCCAGGTGCAGGGAGGGAGGAGGGAAGAGGTGCTGATTCTTCCTCAGCACACACCCTCTTCCAGGCATGGGAGACCCCACGTTGAAAGATAGGTCTCTGAAGAGGGAATCCCCATTCTCCACTTCTAGAAGCTGCTTTATGGCTGACTTGCAGCTTCTCTTTTGGTTCTTCCTTTGTGGAATTTAGTTAGCCTTTCCTACTCCCTTCTTGGGGGTAGAGGGGTAGGCGGTATTACTTTACAGGAAGTAAGGAGGGTGGGGAGGAGGGGAGTGACTTAGGGACACTCATAGCTCAGAGAGATGCTTTCTCGCCCACACAGCTCTCCCTGGGGTGAGGTCACTTCCCTAGGCTCTGATTGGCTTCCTATGAAGCCCTCGATGAGCTGATTGGTTGCAGCCACTTGACATGCAACAGTCACGGGCGAGCTGCGTGTCCAGAATAGGGACTGAATAACGAGGCAGACACGGATAGCTGGGATGCTGTCATAGCGACCCTTCTAAACAGTTGAAAGTCATAAAGAGGGGATGCAAGAGAACCTTCAAGAAATTTTCCAACCATATTCAGGCAGGCAAACTGAATCTTCAGCTTCAAGTGATAGAGATTGGCAATCTCATGCTAGATATTTCTGACCCCATTGTAAAAAATGAATAGAGGCTGTGACTCCATTAAGGGAAAGCCCCTTGAAACCCTGGTGTGGCCATGGTAATAGATGTTAAGGTAGAGGCAGCCAAGAGAACAGAGGAGGAAGCCGGCATTGAAAGAGAACATTCCAGAGTTACTGAGCAATTTGCAGTGATCTGTGTGTTTCCTTTTCTAGCTCTCCAAGGTGCTGGGTGAGTGGAATGGTGGGGGAGCACCAAGGGACCTGTTACACTTTAGCCTGTGACTGTGGCTATGGAGAAGTCAGCAAGAAACAAATGTAAAAGACACTGAAAAATCTCCTTTTGCCTCCTGTCCTCCCCCCCCCACATATACCAGTCCTAACCTAACCAACTATCTCTGTGTCCATGTTGGGGGCACAGCCATCCCCCCAAATCGCACCTATTGCCAACCTGAGACTTTATTTTTTTTTTTAAATTTTTATTTATTTATGATAGTCACACAGAGAGAGAGAGAGAGGCAGAGACACAGGCAGAGGGAGAAGCAGGCTCCATGCACCGGGAGCCCGACGTGGGACTCGATCCCGGGTCTCCAGGATCGCGCCCTGGGCCAAAGGCAGGTGCTAAACCGCTGCGCCACCCAGGGATCCCCAACCTGAGACTTTAAAAGAGTGGATACAAGATTCTAAATAGTAGAGGAGGATGGGAACACACTCCTGCTCCCACCTCTACATACACATGCATCTTTTCCCCTTGAAAAGGGAGAAAGGAGGGCAAAGGTGAGAGTGACCACTTGGGTTCAGTTGTACTGCCTCAAAAACAAAGTGGCAAAAAGATCAGACCATTCTTGGATTCTTTCCTATCTGGCATCCTGCCACTCTTGGCAGGTGACCTTGCTGAACAAAGCCAGAGACATGGGATCTAGCAACTTCCCCAGATTCCAGAACTGTTCCAGGCATAGCTAGATTGTTTCCATTGACCTCTCCCCTACTTTCCATAGGTTCCCTGAGCAGGCTGAGGCTGAAGTCTAAGGTCTAGTAACCAGTCACGAGTGCTTATATCCTGGGAGGACCACCTGAGAGGTTAAAGGTTGAGCATCTGTTTGCAAACATTTAGAGAGGACTGCACAGTGCTTGCTCAGCCCTGTGCTACCCCCTTGCCTGCTAGGGCCTGCTTTATGTTGAACAGATTGCTCCCATACCCACAGCCAGGCCCATGCTGGCCTCCGGCTGAGGGGGGTTCTCTGGCAAGAATCCTACCCTTCACTACCCTATGTTCCATCCATAACTTCTGGTCCCCTCCTACCTTGGCCAGGAAGCCTTAGAGTTGGGGTCTGCAAACTCCACAGGAACCCAAGTGAGGTGAAGGAGGGCTGAATGGAAAACCTGGATGCAACATGTTGTTGAAAAGATTGGGAGTGGAGACCCAAGAAAATTGGAAGGTCAGATATCAGGTAGATAGGGCACCCGTGGTGTAGTGAGGAAAAGACACTTATTTCCCTCAATTCACTTTTATTGCTATTTGAACTTTGAAAGGAAGGAAGGGTGGCCTATAGGCATAGGCTGGTTGAGATTAAGCCAAAGGGAAGGGCTGCTGTCTCAACTGAGCAAAGCAGTAGTTATGGTCATATGTTTGTGGAGTTATGGTTTATGGGATTTCACCATTCCACAGCCTTGTGCCTTGGGAAAGTCACCACAAGTCTGCAGGCCTCACGTATGGGACAGAATTTGGATTAGAGATCCACTATGAACCCTTCAAAGTGATGCCGATCCACCTGCCAGAGTCTAAATGGTTTTGAGAACAAAGGTCAGGATGTGTCCAGCTCTTGCTGAGCTCATTCCATCCTCTGGATTTCCCCACCTATTTTCAGCTTGGGCAAGCTAAAGATACCTCAGGCATCTAGCCAGTCCTTTCCAAGAAACTGCCTCAGCCCCAGTAGCAGGAGGATCAGCAATTCTATCAACTACTGAGGGAGGTGATAACCCCTGCAGGAGAGTTCAAGGTCACAGTCTGCAAGTCAGGACTCAAATCAAACCATTTGATGGAGAAATTTCTGAATGAGGAAGGGGCTAGTGGGGGCAGGGCTTCTTTATCTCTGGGCATTTTGCAAGTCTGGCCAGAGGACAGAGAAGAGAAATGAGCTAGACAGGAATAGCTCAGTTAGCTAATTGGGCCAGATGAGTATAACTCCTTCTCCAGTGACCTTTCCCCTACCGAGCCCCACTATCTCCTCAAGGTCATTTGGGATCAGAATGCTGAAAATAAGAAGTTCTAGTATCACCTCAGAAAGCCCTTTGCTTTATCTCCAACAGAACTTAATTTGCTGTTTTGTGTCTTAAAGGGAAGGAAGGTTCTCTTGGCCAGCCTAAGGGGACTCAGTGGGAAGACAGTGATCGGCTCAAACTGCAGGACCTGAGAGGCTAAGGCCCAAGACTTTTAAGACCTTTTTAAGGTCCAAGGGTCCTCAGACCCAGGCCTGACCAATGCAGGGAGAGGCTGTGTCCCCACGATCTCTGAGTCTGGGACTATTCCCTATTCTCAAAGCCCTCCTCCCTAGATCCTCAGCTATGAACCAAGCTTCCCAAAATTTGGACCCCTGCCTCTCCCTGAATCTTCCCCATCCTGTGAGTCCATCTTTCTTGGTATAAAATGGTCAAGGGAAAACATCCAAATCCTGTCTTTGACCTTTGTTACATTCAGGGCAGCACTGATAGTACTAGAAGAGGAGGGAGATTAGTTAGACCTGTCTTCACCTTACCAAAGAGGGTGGTCATGGTGAGGGATAAACTCACCCAAGTCAGGGACACAGATCTGGAGTATTTCCTATCTTGGGGAGAGAAAAGATGAAACCCCATTTGGACAGGGAAAGAAGCCTGGGACTCATCTTCCTTCTGCTCCTCTATGGTGGGAGATCTAGCCATTCTGGAAAGGAGAGTCCCTCATCTAAGGAGGGCAAGGTAACTCTTTTACTTCATTTTTCTGAGGCACTGGATGGTAAGAGGAAGTAAAACAAAGATGGGCTCAGTGGGAGAAAGGGTAAATGCTGAGCAGCCCTTTTCTCAGCCTTCCACTTCCTGTCCCCAAGCCTCTCTCCTGGCCCTTAAACAATCATTTCCATCTGACCATACTTGGCTGCTCTTGGCCCCTCACCTCTCCCTTACTTGGCCTGGCTCCTGTTTTGAGACTTGCTTTTCTCTGTGAGCTACCACTCTAACACCTGTCCAGAGATATCAGGGATGTCTACAAACTTCCGAGGAGCTGGACTAGGCCTGGTCAGGAGGTGGAACTTAGGGCCAGAAAGAGCTTATCACTCAGTCTTATTGTCTTTTATATTCTTTTCCTCTTGTTGACTCTCTTGCTCCATGTCTTTCTTTCCATGTCTCTCTGCTTCCTGCTTAACTTGGGTTATTTATGGGTGATGCGGTGAGAAATATTTGGAGTTGCAGAATACACACAGTACATCTTTCAGGCTGGCAATTTGACTTTTAAGATTTGGTGGAGGAAAATAAAATTATTATGTTAAACTACACAAATATAGTGTATGGTATTAATCGAAAGGTGCACTCTTTATACATAAAATAGGTACTTCAACAACATTTTAAGCTTCTGACAGGCTACTTTGAGGGTTCCAGAAGCTCTGAGGGAAATGGTTCATTCTCCCTAATCTTAGGGGTCCCCTCAGAGGAAATATTTGAGAAGCTCTACGTAGAGGTAAGAACTTAAGAGAAGCCTAAATACCACATACAGGAGTCAGGCAGGTATAAAAGGGTGAAGCAGGTGAGTTTGAAACAACAGGGAGTGTGAGACAACAAACTGGCAAATGAGAGCCTGTCTGGTCCCTTTGGCTCTCCTGGAATGCAGGAGCCATGAAGGAATTCAGGCTGCTTTTTAAGAGGGGCCAGAACAGTAGAGTTTGGTGAAATCTGGTTTTGAAATGTTTACCACTAATTCAAATTTTTAGAAAGAAACTGTACAGGTTTCTAAATGTCTGCAAGCTGAT